GGGGCGGTGTACTGCCAAGCCGTAAACGGAACAATGTATCCATTTCAATCCCCCGTGCCGTGTAAATACAAAGCACTCTAAATACATGCAAGGCTTCCCCTGTTGCCACCCCGGCCGCGCTCCACCCCGCCCCGGTCCCCACGGGCCGGTCAAAGATAATTAAAAGCGGGGCGAGACATCGAGGCGGCTAGGCGGCCGGCTAGGCGGCGACACAGAGATAGCCCAGCCCGTCGGCTCCACTGCACAGATTGAGTCATTTCCATAGAAGGCTGTGAAGTCATTCCGGCGGCAAGCCGTGGCAAGCCGTGGCAGTTACTGCAGGCGGTGCTCGCCGGGGTTTATGTACTGGAAACGCGGAGAGCGGCAAACTCGGCGGGGAGGGTGCGGCTGCGGCCGCGGTGGTGGGGGGCGGTGGTGGGGCGCCGGGGCTGGGCTGGCGTGCGTAAAGTTGAGCAGTGGATGGCGATGGAATTTAGGGGCCCCCCTGTGGCCGGGATTCGGAAATCAGCATAGCCGTCTGGATCTGGCTGCCGGGGGTGGGGCGGGTGGGGCGGGGGGGGGGGGCGGGGTGGGCGGGTGGGGGGGGGGGGTGGGGCGGGGGGGGGGGGGGGGGGGGTGGGCGGGGTGGGGGTCGGGGTGGGCGGGGTGGGGGGGGGGGCGGGGTAGGGCGGGGTAGGGCGGGTGGGGCGGGGAGGGCGGGGTAGGGGGGCGGGGTGGGGCGGGGTGGGCGGGGTGGGGCGGGGTGGGACACCACGAGCCGGGTCGGTCGGTGCCGGGAGCGACCCGCTGGTGGTCACGTTCGGTATCAACGCCCCGACGCCACGCCACGCCAAGCCACGCCACGCTGTCAATGGACCGAGACCATCCCGGTCCCCATCATCCGGGGGAAAATGTGGAGGATGAATCTTTCATATCGATTGTAGCGCCCTCTGGCGCCTCCCAGTCACTCCGCCTGTCTCTCTCGCACCCACAAGGGACGCCCCAAGAGCGCGACAGAGACAGAGCGACGCTTCGGAGTGGTCCAGTCGGCCCGCTGGCGGGTCTTTGCGAAGGATTGATGCGGTCCAGGCACGTCTCAGCAGGCTCCACCAGGCCTGGACAGCCTGGACCAGCCCCTGGAAGATTGCAGCGTTTCCCTCTTGCTTCATTTTTATTTTTATGTTTTTTGTTTTGATTTTTTTTTCAGCAGGCTCATTTGTTTTGATCGGATAAATCCAAGATTCCAGTCGTTCCATTTTCGCCGCAGAGTCTTGTAAATATCGCAAACAGCGTAAAAAGGAATTCATACATGTATTTTTAACAGAGGGAAAATTAAAATAATGGTGAGTGCGTTCGCTTATCTCTGCTCCCCGCTCCGCACTCGCTCCTGCGGGAACAACCTGTTAACAATATTCAATCCGACGGTGGCAGTCGGCAGTCCAGAGGGGTGCGTCGGCTGGCTGCCTGCCTGCCTGCACGGCCTGCACCAGCTAAATTGAGATGTTAGCGACTGCCCCGTAACGTTATCATCAAACACAGCCCTGGCCTGCCCTGCTTCCCCACGCTAAGGTCATTAAGTCGGCTTAATTCAGCCGCTTGGAGCTGCTAAGTAGAGCTTTCCGCTGGCCATCTCGGCGGCCCGGGCTTGGGCCTCCACCCCCACCCCTTTGCCGTCCTCTGCTACCCCGTCCGCGCCGTGCAGGCCGTGCACCGGTACATCGCGTCGATGGTATCTCCGGCGTGGCCAAGTGGCGCACGCCGCCCGCCAAATGGCAGCCTCGACAGAACTGGTGGCCGAGCGCGTAAGCACACTGGTCCCTCACCCGTAAGTCGTGCGTTCGAATCTCCCTGTCCGCCACTCTGTTTTCTCTGAAATTCTTACACTGAAAGTTAAGTTTTAAAATTCAAAAAGGTGTTTGAGCAGAAATTTTAGATTCTGACACAACTCATTTGGTGAGAGCTTCTTTTTTTGTCTGTGTTGCACTGCCGGAGAGCAGCGAAGCAGCACGCACACACTGTGCATTGGGGTCGCCCGCTGCTCCATCTCACAAATGGAATCGAATCGGCGTCTCGGTGTAGAACGGGATTGCCCCACGCCGCAACACACTCACGCGCGCGCGCACACACACACACACACACACACACACACAGACGTTTACATAGAAAGAAACACAAAGAGGACATCTCAGGAGGGGGCCCGCAAAATCCGTGCTCACATCGTATGGCATAGTGCGCTGCTGGAGCTGCTCTCCGGGTGGAACCAAAAGTCAAATCTACCCCTTTTTTCGTCGGTTTTTTTTTTTTTTCAGAAATCTTGCCTTCGATTGTTTCGAGACGATCAAGAGCCTGATCAAAATAGAAGGTGAAGCTTGACATCCTTTGAGGAAATGAATGAAACAACGCATTGTTCCGGGGGGGTGGGGAATGTCCGGTGACGTCGGTGGCAGCGACTGCCCGTCCAGCCGATGGCATCCGATCAGGCCCGATCAGCGCGCCAAGTGCCGGACAGGGGTGGGGGAGGGGGAAGCAGGGAGGAAGGGTGGGGGCGGCATCCCTCGGTCGCACCGAGCCGACTGGAGTGGAAAGATAATATACTTAGCGTGCGTTCGATATCACCCTCCGTGGACCAAGGCTGTCGGGGTGGCAACAGTGGTAGCGGTCGCGCGTGGTAGCCCTGCGCGTGTGTGTGTGTGAGAGCGTGTGTGTGTGAGAGAGAGAGAGAGAGAGAGAGCGAGTGTGTGCCATTTGCCGCATTGTTATGAATGGCAGTATACACAGGGGTCGTGGCCATTTTCCCCTTTTTTTTCTTTTTCTTTTTTTAAGGTCGCTGAGTGGCAGGCTGTGTGTCGCGCGCCTTTTTAAAGCGCACCCGACACACTTGAGCCCCGCCAGCCGCGTGAAAGAAGGGCCCTTTTTATGAAAAAGAGAAGAAGAAGGAGGAGGAGAAAGAAGAACTTTATCCAGCATCGAACCCGCACGGATGGTGAGCTCGAAAATTCAAATCGAGCACCGACAGAGAGAAAAATTTGCTTTGGTGAAGCAGCCGGGACCTCTAGATTGACTGCTCCAAATGCCTTAAAATGTTCCATCACGACCCGCGGCTCCGCGGCTGGGGCAGGCTGGGGCAGGCTGGGGTTGGGTCGGGGAGTGGGGTGGGGTGGGGCGAGGTCGGCACGGGATCGGGGCTTTTAGCGATGCGATCGCCGCCAAGAGCGACGAGTACAAACACGGCCAAGGAGGGCTGCGCCAGGCTGCGCGGCGGTATGAGATTGCGGGAGGGGAGGGGAGGGGAGGGGGTTCAAGTGGGAGGGGGAGGGAGGGGGCATCGGCTAATAGCGGACGAGCGGCATTTTTACATCCCCCACCCCCAGGCAGCCCGTCCAAGCTTCCAACCATGCTGTCCATAGAACAGTACATAGACTTCCGACTTTCCGACTTCCCACTTCCGACTTCCCACTTTCCGACTGTCCACCTTCCGACTTCCTACTTTTCGACTTTCCACAATCCGACTTCCCGCTTCGACTTTCCACTTTCCGACTTTCCACTCCCGACTTCTCACTTTCCCCTTCCCGCTTCCCACTCCCCCTCGCCACCCCGTAGACCCTGCCGGTGTTACACGACGCCCACCCTGTCATCACCGGCCCGGGATGCACAATGACCACTTGAGATCGGGATGTGCAATCAGCGCTTCGTGATGGAGCGGCGCGCCGCCGGGGCCGCCAGCCCGAGCAGCCAGCCAGCAGCCAGCCAGCCAGACAGACAGCCAGCAGCCAGCCAGACAGACACAGCAGGCAGGCAGCGCGGGCAGAAAAGGCAGGTGAACTTGTTGAGTACCAGCAGCAAGGGCGCGGAAGGAATCAGAGCCTCCCCTCCACGTCAGCGCCACCGCCACAGCCGGTGGCGGGGCGGGGCGGAGCGGGGCGTGTCTCGGGGGTCGGCCGACCGCTTTCGAGCCCTCACACTTCTGGCGCTCTTCAAATAACAGACCTGTGAGACAGCCAATTTCGTCTGCTCCTCTGACCTAGCCTCCCCTAGCTTCCCCCCGGCCTCCCCCACCCGGCCGCCTGCCGCCTCTCCGCCCGCAGCCCTCCGAGATACCAACCCGCAGCGCAGCCGTGCCTGCGGACGGCCTACCGCAACCAGCAAGGCGCTCCGGCGAGCTCTCTTTCGCAACAAACGGAGACGTTCAACTTTTCCACTTTTTAACAGTGTGTCCAGGTTTCGGGGCCATCGATTCACCTTTAAATGTGAGCCTATTTAATCGCAGCCCGGGGCTGTTGGTCTGGCCGGGGGCGGCGGGGGCGGCGGGGGCGGCGGGGGCGGCGGGGGCGGGTCGAGACCAAGAGCAAACAACCCGAGCACCGCCGATCGACTGACTGCTAAGCCCGAGTTTATTGCTTTCGGCTCCCCTGTGTCGGCTCGCGGCTCTCGGCTCTCGGCTCGGCTCTCGGCTTTCACCCGGGCAGCCTCGCGGGCAGCTGACCGGCTGCAGCAGCACGCCCACGTCGAGGGTCGAGGCTCGCCCCCGGCCAGCGCACACGCAGTCTGGACGTGTGCGTGCGCGCGCGCGCGTGTGTGTGTGTTTGTGTGCTCAAGGGGTAAAAGCTCGCGAGCTGTGCGCTGCGCCGACACATGACACTGCGGCCTCGCACCGAAAAAGCCCTCCCAAGGGGGTTGTCGCGAAAGCAGCTAAAGACCGCAAACTATCGCGTTCGCTCGCTCGGGGACCGCAGGGGAGCGCTGCGGCTTGCGAGGCTCGCGAGGCTGGCGAGGGGTGGGGGTAGCAGGGGACTCCCATTGCATGACAAAGACAGCGGAAGTCGCTTTCTTCCACATTGCGCCTCGGTGGCGCCGGAAGCAGCCCCCCCCCCTTTCCCCTCCGGAGTGGAGAGGGAAGGGCGGTGGCAGGATGTTCGGAGAAACGGCGGGCAAACGCCCCGCGGCGACGCCTCGTTAAGGCAGCGCCCAAAAATGGTGAAGAGTAGCGTCGCCGTCCGATGCGTCTTCTGTCTCTCTCTTACCTGGCCAGGGCCGTCATGGCCTTCTCCTTGAGGCCGGCGAAGGCCCCGAATCCAGGCATGGTGGCGGCGCGGTGGATCGGTCGGTCAGGAAGACGGGCGCTTCTAGGCGCCTAGCATTCTGTAGCAATCAGAGAACATTCTGGTTAGTCTGGCTCGGTCGCGTGGGTTTAGAGGCCGAATTTCAACCTCAGGACCTTGGTTCAACTCCCCACATTTTTTCCGTTTCTATTTTATTTTTTCTCCTTTGTGAACACACTTTATTGTTTGAGTTGACTTTATAATGTAGAGCGATCGATGGGTCCAAAAAATTTTCGAAGCTCCGGCGTGAGGCAGCATCCAATCCCTTTCTAGACAACCTCGACTCATTTCGTTCCCGCCAAAATGATGCGGGCCGTAAAGTTTAATCAGCAGCGCGCGTCGTCTTTCAATTGGCTGCAAAGCGCGCCACCTCGCCGCCCCGCTGCCAGGCCTGGCCAGGCCGCCAATGACGATGAAGAGTGATCCCCTAACGGCCAGGCCCGCGGCCAGGCCCGCGGCCAGGCCCGCCACTGCCAAGCCACTCTGAATCACTTCCTCGGGGAGTGCTCTTCCCTGGAACACTGGAACGGGTCGCCGGACGGGGAGGTAGAGGTACTCGTCGGCCGGCCGCGCTAGAATCGCTACTTTTGGCGCGAAAATCAATTTGCAGGCGATGCGCGCGGCGGCGGCGAGCACGCTGAGGCGCGGAGGCGGACGCCATTTTGTTTCCAAGGCGCGGGGGGTGGGGCCCGTCCCGTGTCCGTTGGGCGGCCCAGTCCAAAGTAGGTCATGCAAGACCTTCGCGGGGGCTTTTGGATGTTCTGGCCGCATCACGGCCCAAAAAAGCGGGAAAACTGTTCATGTGGAGCTTTCCGATTGCGAATGAGCGCGAGTGAGTGGCAGTGATTGCTGATTTGGGCGCGATCCGCGTTGGAGCGTTGGAAAGGCCAGCGATCGATGGTGCTACATCGACGTGGATGGCGGATGGCACGTGTTGGAAGCGATTTCACTTTCGCTGCCGCTTCCGCCCGGAGGCAGAGGCTGCCCCTGTCTGGAGGCACCGCGGGGCACTGCATGCAGGTGGAGCTGGCGGTGCGAGTGGAGGCGGTCTCCGCGCGGGATGACGTGGATGACCCCAGGGCCCGAACCAGACACAAAGCGGCCCGAAAATTGCGGCGGATCGCAGCGCGGAGGCTGACGGGGGTTGTCGATCCTCGGGGTTGTCCTCGGGGGTCGCGGGCACGTGCTCCCCCACGCCCCCCGCAGCCCCTGTTGGCTTACCTCGGGTGCTCCTGGTGCGGCAGGCCGAGGTGCAGCTGATGGATGCCGAGGCCCTCACACGGGGAACGTGACCTCCATGCCGAGGACGTCGAGGACGTCGAGGACGCTGAGCACGGCGACGAGGGGTTCGCTGGTGTCACTGCGTCCGCGGGCCCTGGGCGCGTCCACGGCGGCCGGGGGCATCGTCACGACGCGGGCACGGCACTGGGGGGCGCGAGGCGCGAGGGCGAGGGTGGCCGCCGTGGTGGAGCCTTGCGCCGCTTGCGCCTTGCGGCCAGTCGCCTCTCCGCGGACTCAGCGGGCTGCCTACCCTCGGCCCTGCAGGCGAAGCTGGCGAAGCGAGGCCAGGCCAAGCGCGCCGCGCGCACCCAGCCCGCGCCACCAGCCCGCCAGCCTAGTTGCGCAGCCGGCCGCCGGGAGCGAGGGCGGCAGCACCGGTCCGGGGCCCAGCGCGGCCCAGCCAGGCCAGCCAGGCCCAGCCGGGGAGCGGCCCGATTGGCGCGAGCCCCGCGAGCCGTGACTTCCCTGCACCCTTCCCTCTCGCCCCGTCCCGCCCCGCCGCGCCCCGCCCCGCCACGCTGCACCCCGCCACGCCGCGCGCGCCAGCCAATCGTGGAGCCACCTGCGGGCGAGGGAGTGTTCCGTTGTCGCTACGTGCCCGCCCCCGCCAGGCCGTCAGCCCTGCCTGCCTTGGCCTGCCTTGCCAGCAGGGCGGCCTACGCCCCGCTAGGCCTGCCAGGCCCCGGCCATTCCCGACGGGTTTTATTAAGTTGACTCTGCATCTGTCCTCGTCGGCGCCGTATGCAGGTGCGGGGGTGCGAGTGAGACGCCAGCCCAGCCCTGCGCGCGCCCTGCTCGTCTTGAGTTGCTGAGACAAGCATTCCAGCCGGGGTTCGTGCGTAAACCAGCAGTCCGCTTGTATAAGTGTTAGTGCCAGTCCTGGCTGGCGATGGCGACACCCCACGCGCAATACCCCTGGTCGGCTCGGGGTATCGCCGGCACAAGCACAGATCTCTCCTGTGACGACAAGGCACGGAGCCAAACACGATCTGAGTTTTCTTTCTGTTGTTGTTGCTGTTGTTGTTGTTGTTGTCTTAGCACTGTTGTGAGTTAACCCTTGCGGCCACTGTAAAAATGTCACATTTTGATTGTGACAGGAAACAAAATAACAGATTGCCTTTAATTTTTTCATTTGTTCATTTACTAAAAGATTAAAAACATCAACTATCACAGCTGAGAAAAGGAAAAAACTATTTTCAAAAAAAAAAAACAAGAGAGAATCTAGAACTACTGAGCTTACATACATGACTTAGATAATTATTGCAAACGTCAGTTGAACACATTTTCACCTAGAAGACAATCTCAAGAGAGAAAATAAATATTTTTACACCAATCTCTATAAAAACAAAAACAAAAAAATACTTGACTTATATACAGACTACTCCCCCTCCTCCTTTTTTTCTCTTTCTAATAATGTGTATCACAGGTGATAGGTCGATAGTAGATGACTAATCGACATTAAAACAATGTTGAGGAAGCACAAAGTGTGCATTAAACGGAATACAGTACCTACATTACATTTGAATCTTGCAAGCAAAAGATTCAAAACATTACGGAATAGTAGCTTGAGCAAATTCGTTTTATCATTACGGATTAACATGGACAATCCTCCAGATAATTGAGGAGAGTTACAGACATATTCAGTCCATACTTAAGAATTAATAAATTGCAGTACAGTACATTCATTATCAATCAGATCAATGAAAGTAACAGGGGAAAAAACACAAAAAAAAAAACAAGACACTAAAAGTTTCTTCAGTGACAGATAAAGTAAGGAGACTTCATAAGTATGAAAAGTACACACAAAAAAATAAATAAATAATTTAAAATGCTACACAGTTAATCATTTATGACTAAATCTTCGTAGTCACCAACAGAGCTCTCTGATGAAGAGAATAATGTTCCAGCAATATTCCTCAATTTCTTTGAACTTTGCCTTGACTCCTTCTGACTTGCTGACTGAAAAAGAGTTTTGGCTGTTAACCCATGACTTTTTGATGAGGATTTCCATCTTGATTTTCCTGGCGACGTTTGCAAAAGGGCAAACTCATCTTTCCCCAGCTTTTTTTTAGCCTCCAACTCTTCACGCACACAGGTTCTGTATTTTTCAAATACTCGTAGCATTTCCTGCAAGAGTATTGTATCTGTTGACCAATAACTCATATTGATTATGTCTTGAGCACATTCTCTCAGGGCTCTACGGGATGAAATTAGAGTACTGCTATCAGTGTCAGTTTCAGAATGCTTTCTCTTCAGCCTTTTGGTTTTTGTCTGTTTATCTGTCTCTCCTTCAGTATCAAGCCCACACACTTCATCCATAGTCTTCTCTGAATCTTCAGTACCAAGAGCAGAGGGAAATAAACTGGCTTCATGATCTTTGGGTGAGAGTGAAGGTACAGGGGGCAATGTACACAATTCGGAAAAATCCCTGTTTTGACACTTTACCTCTTTTAGTAGCTCTGTTTGAGAATCTTCCTCCACAAATAAGAATTGGCTGCGATCATCATGACATGAAGTATCATCCCTATCTTCAACAATGTGAGGAGAGTTCTGAATACCCAGTATGGAAGTACCTTCCATGCTCATGACACCGTCAAAATCTATCCCATTTTTGTCCGAATCCAAAATAACAGTCTCTTCCGACTCTTGCATGGCTAACACTTCATTAATTTGATCATGATCAGAGCAGGTCTGTGTCATCAAGATGTTCTCATCATCATTGAGTGGAAGGATACGTTCTTCTGAAGGACCAGTGATGACATGGTAGATATTATCATCCAAATTTACACTAACAAGGTTTGCAGCATCCACTTCAGTAGAATTTTCATGTCCAACAACTTCCTCACTTATGGGCTGGGTAACCATAAGCATAAGAGTGCCATTACTATTGAGAACCTGGACGAAGTTGGATGGTAATACAGTGTGATCTTGCCATTCATGTGTGAAAGTATCCAGAACAGGAACAACAGTCGAGTCAGGGTCACATTTCTGAACGGAAAAATGCAGATATTGTAGATTAGTCAATCAGTTAGTTCTAGGAGGTAATGGCAATGGCACAAGGTGCAATTCAAATGCATTTGAAAAGAAAACTTACAGCAGGGATTTGATGATCCTGATGAGTAAAAGAGTCCTCAGTGGATGCTGGTAAAGAAATTAAGTTGGGATCTAACATTTTTCCTTCGTCTTGAAGTTTGGAAACGGCCACTCTTGCATCATAAATGTGATTGTAAATACATTTATCACTTGGATAAAATGCACTATTTTGATGATCAGGGCGTATGCTAGACTTAAGAAACATATCACTAACAATTTTGGAAAGTTGTGACTTAACAGTAGGAACTGAAGTTACTCCTCTTCGAACAAGGTTGTGGATTTCTGAAATTAGATCTGGATGTAAAGGCTGAATTCTTTGAGTTGTAGTCCGTTTGTGGGTGTGGGCACTTTCTGGTGACACTGAAATCCAATAGTTGAGCTCCTGTCGGGGTGGTGGAGTTGATTTCATATCAGCTTTCAGCTTCTTCAGCAACTGTACAAACAATAACAAAATTAAACAATCAATAAAATCAAAGAAACAGGGTTTAAAAATAAATTAAAATAAGTTTGAAGATATTTTCGACTAACATCTGATTTACGTCGCCAAGAATCAGCAGGAGTTTTGTAATCAGGGTATACCCGTATACATTTCACTGTCATCTTTGCAGGACAGCCGAGTTTGATGGATTCGTTGGTTTTTCGACGTTTCTTTTTAGTGGTTGAGTTATCTGACTCACTCTGACAAAAAAAGTAGAACACACGTGAAACTACGGTAATAGTTTTACAAGTCAAGAAGATTTCAAACCAAACTTGCTTACATTCTCATCTGCGGTTGGAGGAACTTTGCTTTTAAAATAACGAAATCCATGTGTGCACAAGAAATATGTAGTGCCTTCAACATGAAAGGGAGAACCTGTGAATGGGATCTGAAGGTCTGGGGACAGAATCTTATACTGTAGATTTCCTGGAAAATATTAAAACGCACACCATGAACACTGCTCACACTGCTGATGCGGAACAAACGGTACAAATCCACAAATGTGAGGATTTCTAACCTGAGTCTGCTTTCCCTGCGTAACAGGACCGCACCGAATATCGGCACCCCAACACCTTGAGGTCGCGAAACAGTTCGTCGTAAGCCTTCTTCGACTCCAAGTAGCCCGTGATCATGCCCTTCGGCGTCACGCGACATGACTTCAGTCTTTCTTTAATTAAATCGTCCAGAGAACACTCCTGCTCAGATGACAGGACAGCCATGTTTGTTTGGTATATGTCTACCAGGGTAACCAAAGTCGCGACCTAATCTCTCTCTTGCATACTCCCCGACCTTCATTGGTCTTGGAATCAATGCTTTTGCTCCTCTTGTTTCCATTTTCTCTATTCGAGTTTTAATTGACATCATACATCATCCTTACACGAAGAGACGTGACAGCATCACGCGAAAGTCTTGTCCAGGCTAGTCTGTTGAGGTTGGCAACAGACACAACAACAAGGAAGACACAAAAACAATAACAAAACTCCGGCACCTTGTTCCCTGCTCACCAAACAACAGCAACAGGTGGTTGGAGGGAAATGGATGTTGGCATGGAATCTATGCCTTATGCCTATCATCGAGAAATTTTCCTGTTAACGTTTCGCCACAATGGGCCCTGTTGCTCTTCTAACTTTGACTGGTCTATTTGTTGGTTTAGAGGCGGCTGAACTTACTGATAATCGTAAGTTTTCTGCTAATCAACTTCAAATTGTGATTACGTTATAATTAAGGATTTAAGGACTTCTTTAGTTGTTCTTGGTTTTTTCTTCGCCGTTTTTCCCCATTTTTTTTAGGATGTTTTCAAGGCAAAAATATGACATGGCCAGAGGATGAGTGCAACAGCGTAATAATAGCAGGTTTCACCTGCTTTGGCTCTTCATGTCCCTATAATGTTTTGATGAACGTCTCATTACCAGAAAATGTTTCAGTGGAGATGTTCAGAGTAAAATTTGATGATGCCTGCGACTGCAGTTGCCATTGCAACTGCAATAGAAGTCAGTTAGGTGTGTTCAGGTTTCCAGTCAAATCGGTAAGATGGAACAACGTCTAAATTTGGTAATGTTTCCCTCATCTATAAGTAAATGGCCTTTTTTGGAACCTTTTGGATGCCATTCAGCCTCTGATCACTTCACCCCCTTTTGTTTATTTTTTCCAGTCAGAGAGTGGCGTGATTCATGCAGAATCATTAGAACATCAGATGGATGGTGGTTGCTATCAATATTTATCCTCAACACACAACATAAGCTCTTGTTGTATTCTCTTTCCTGGTGAGGACCAGCATGGACTTTGTAACTATGAAAGTAAAATTTCTCTAATCAATTTTGGTTGTAACACTCTTTTATTTGAGCACAGGCAATGATTATTTTGGAAAAAGACCTGATCTAAATAATGCAGTTAAGCCCGACCGCAAGGAACCTGCCGCAAGGAAAATGATAAGAACAAGTATTATTGGGGACTTGTTGTCATTGTTGTTCTACTTTTTGTGGTGTTGCATTATTTTTGGAAAAAGAACTCCTCCATGTCCATTGTGCCCATGCCACAGCAGGACATAGAACTAAGCAACAGCCCATCAGCAGGTTTGTTTTTGTTATTTTTTATGACTCATTCAAAAAGCTTAACAAAATTGTACAGAGAAATGTGATTTCTGTCTTGTGTTTGTTCCTAGGCACACCTTCATCAAAAGCAGAGAAAAACAAACATATTGTAATAATTTATGCAAACTGTAAGGAAACTACAAGAAAATTGATTGGTAAACTGATAAAGGGTTTTGAATCTACTCTCAAAGACTGCACTGTATCTGACTACACGAAGATTGGAAGCTTACTTGAGCGAGATATACATTGGCTTTACACGGGCAATACGTTTGATAAGGTAGTTTATAATACTACCCAGCCAGAAGTGGGTGTTTGAAATGACATTGATGAAAAGTTCATTGATTCTACATTGAACCAATGTTGTTTGGAACACCTAATTCTAGCGGGGCAAGTTCAATGTAAATAGCTTGCTTATTTCTATTGTTCCTGTACATTATGGGTTTACAGGCGATGGTGCTTCTCTCTCCAGAAGTATCATCTTTACTGCAATGTAATGCAGAAAACATTGCTCACGATTTTTATAGCAGGTTTGTGTATCACTTCTTCACAAAATACTTGCTAGATCCTCACTCCAAAGACAAAATTATATTTATCAGGTAACTTTTTTACCATGTATGTACTGTGCCAAAAATTTAAAGTTCAATGTGGCTCATGAAAATGTTCTCAATTTGCAGTTTTGAAAAAGAACCTTGCTTGGATTTAAACTTTTGTTCCTTGTAAGTGTGATAACTTTCCTGTCACTTCTACATCTTACTCCTTTCATCAATCATTTTTAAAGAATTTTTTATGGAAGTTCCAATTTTTTTTACATTTGTTATAGCTCTACTGTTTATGCTCTACCAACAAAGCTGAGAGATCTTCTACAACTTTTTGACTTGTGAGTAAGATTTTCTGTTCTCATTTATTTTTTTCCTGTCATTATGGTAATTTTATCCTTTTCTGTGCTTTACATCCTCAGGAAAGGTGATGATAGTGTAATAAAAGAGTTTGAATCAAACTTACGCTAGAAAGACAACAGAACTTAAGTTGGTCCGCAATTTATTTGGATATTGCCTATTGGTGCTATTGACTAGAAAATTTTTTTTTAATAAAAATCTAAGAGATTAATAAGTTAAGTTGTAAGTATAAAGTAGAATCTCCTTTTGTATTATTTTTTTAGGATTTAATTGTTTGTTGAATCTCATTTTAATACTCATGTAACGAAAAGCGTACCTATAATGTAAAACTGGGGTTCCCAGTTGAGTTGTTTGTCTAGAAACAAGAAATAAAATTTGTACTTCTACACAGATTGATATATTTATTCAAACGAAACAACTATTCAAACCAGGAAGGCAATATTATTGTCATAAAACAGTTTGGCTTAATGAGTGAGCTGTGTCCAGCCACTTGCAAAGTTCAAATTCATACAGCACATAGACACAATTCGTGTTCTGCAGGAACAACAATAAAACAGACAATCTATAAATGCATGAAGTATACAGCAACCAAGTCCAAACATGACACTTGATTTAACTAAGACTGCCTGCAGTCATCTTAGAATCTTAAAGGAAGTTCATATCACACCAAGTGGGAAAGAACAGGAACTGATACAAATAACATGGCACAGGAGACACTACAAACTAGAGAAGAAGCATCACACTTAAAAGTTCATCATGCACTAGAGGTTAGAGATCTAGAAGCTGGAATACACTTAGTCTCACATCTAAAATATTTATTTTTGATGGAGTGAAACTACATAGTACTTCAAACCCTAGTTAAATGAAATGCTTTAGCCAATCAAATTTATGGTAAATTTGTAAAGACTGTAGCCCTCTTCCTTCTATGAGCCTTATCAACAACACAGTTGTACACAATTTCAAGTCAAAAAATAAATAAAGTTCACAAATGAGATATGCCACAAAAATTACAGTGGGCAAAAAAATATGCCAGTTGCTATAATTCTCAATTCAAGGAAGTTATAACCATATCATTGACTTCACAATAAAATTAAGAATAAATAAAGGACTTCACAAAAACATCAAGATCACACTTTTTAATATAAAAAGAGTGATTAAGAGAAATGACACCGACAACAGAAAATGTTACCCACGCAAAGTAGCATTTCGTAAGTGACAGGTACATCTTGCTTTTAATATTTGGCTTGTTACAGTAGAAGTGTGAGTAGCACTTAAAAACAATATCTCCAAGATACTTCTGTGAAGGAAATTGAATGGATTGATGTAAGTTAAGCTGATAAAAGAAACTGATATGATTAATGCCAGTGTGCTCAATGCACATCCCTGGAGTGGCAAAACCTTATTTCATATGAAAATATTTAGAACAGCAATTTAGATCAAATGTTAGAGCTTGAGAATGCAGAAAGCAGTAAATCACTACTATAATTGTTTTCCTCCCTTCCCATAATTGACAAATAATGAAAAATTTCAGTTTAGGACAAAGCTAAATGTCAGCAATAAAGCTCGGACCACCCAGTAGTGATTGGAATGTACAGCAGTTTGAGGAATATCCCTTAAGTAAACTTGAGATAAAAATGAACTAGGGAGGAAAAAATCCTTGTACAAAACAGATTTACTTAAGACTGCATCTCATAAATTAACTAAAATTGGCAAACATTCAACTTAAAAAAAAGGTCAATCTACAAAATAATCCTACAGATATCACAGGGGGGTGAAAGAAGAGAGAAACACAGAAAATAGATCATTCCTCATAGAGAATAAAACCATGAAAATTTTAAAAACTTAATTAAAAAGGGCTTACGCACATAAATATCCCACATAACAAAACCATTTAGATAAATACATAAATTGATCGAACTATACAATAATAAATGGTAAATGTCACACTTTTAATAGTAGTGTATGACTTCAATCTTAGATACAAGTATACATTACACACATAATAGAATACTGTTCTGTTAAAATCTTGCAAATTCTTACTAAAAACAAAACTTAAAACATAGGCACAGGTAAAAATCACATTGAAATATAAAGCCCAATTCATTATTGTCATTGTTGCATATATCCTCAAAAAAATGTACCAAAAAATTATTGTCATCAGTTTTGGTAATAATGATGATTAAAGCTATGCTTATGTTTCCTTTAACTCTTATCAGCATTGAGAATATTCTCAATGCTAGAGTAAGATCCAAAGCCAAAGCCAAGGAGACCAAATATGACAATGGCAATATCCTTCCACAAAATCCAGTTATAGCGACCCAATCCAACTTTCCAGAAAGTTATTATTTCAATCAGTGGAGGGAAAATTAGAGCAAGGGCTGAACTACTAACAGCGCCAACCAGTGAAATCACTGCACCAAGGTCTGGAATTAGAGCAGCCAATACAAAAGTGAAAATAACAATGATGGTGCGCACAATATATTCTCCATACATTTGAGCCTTTTCAGTATGCAATTTATCTTTGATCAGAGGCCAGATAATGTTCATAGGAACATAGAACTGGAGACCATACGACAGAAAGATAGCCAATCCCATCATAAGACGTACCGACTGAGCCAACAAATCATTGGGAGGTAGATTTAGCGTAATACTACCCTTCACATGGTCACCATACTTCAGGTATCCAAAGAAGCCAACTGACGTGTACAGGGCTGCGACAATCACCATACCAGTGTTAAGTACTCCAGTTAGTCCACTAAAATCTTGAGGAGTCTCCATATTATTTTCCAAAGGAAGAACCTGGGGGGCAAAACAAGGTAATGGAATATATGGTGGGGTACTGGAAACCACTTTAGAAGAAACGTTTCATGCAGAAGCATCAACTTACCACACCAATTCCCTCAAAAGCATAAATAGCAGTGCCGAAAAACAGAGGCAACTTGTGCCAGGGCGCAAATGCATGTACTGATGAGGTCCTTGGCAGTCCTTGAAGCATGTAGAAAAAGGTGATGCCCAAGCCCGTAATGGTCAGGATGGAGGCAAACAAGGAGACTGGAGCCAAGTACTTGAGATTCTTCACCCAGTTGAGGACAATCATAGGTATCAACAGCAAGCCCAGGTAAACCTGGACGTCCAGATCAATCCAGAAATGTGCAACAACCTACAAGAAAATACAGGAATTAGATTATGTTTCAATATTTGTGAGTTCCAACAAAGTAACCAATGTAACAAGCTTCTTACATCTCTGAGGTTGGCTGCAACAAATACGAAGTATACACAGCAGAAGCCCAACTGAGTAATGCAGAGGAAAACATTGACCATAATCCTGTCAAACAACAAAAAAAAAAACAGAAAATTATTCCATTGTCACCCACAGATGCCAAAAGTTCCTCTAAAAATTGTATTAAACTTACTTGGCAGCATGCGAGAAAGGTCGCAGTACTGATGGCCCTGTAGCAAACGCTGTCTCCACTACCTCAGAAAATCCAAGAGCTGGCATTTGGGATCGGCGACAGAGCTCATGAGCACATTTCACCTGAAGCACAAAATAGAGTTAAGTGATTCGGTTAAATGCCACTACTTGCACAACAGGACTAATGACACAAATGAAACTTACCAGCATGTGCATACAATGAGTGCAAATCACTCCCATTATTAGGGTGCCCACAGTTCCGACCACAAGGCCTGCATTACTGAAGGCATCAGGCATCGCCAAAATGCCAGAGCCAATGTTTCCTTTCAACAAATGTATCATAGTGTCCAAGTTCCTGAAACCATGTGATATTTATGATAGGTTTACTTAGAGTAGTGGAGCCCTCAAACCACAAACAGTGCAGAAACTTACGATGTGGGATGTTCCAAATTTCTGTTAAGTACTGGATCAAAGTCTGGCTTTGGTGGCTTAGGTGGAGGAGGGACGCCTCCGTCTGGTGTACTTGCCCCTTCCATGGGCCCCCCAGCCAAATGGACAACAACATTGTCAGGGGAATTCCTCAGATCAGGACGAGGAATAGCTGACCTGTAAGAATAGGCGTTGGTGAAACAGCACAAAGAGCAAAGAAAGTCAGTCTTTCATGAGGAGCATGGCTATTACCTGTCATAAGTATCGTTCAAAGGTTCATTTGATGACACCAGAAGGGGCTGTCTTTCTTCTTTTTTCTTTCCCATCTTCCCTTGGACAACGCTGCTGAGCTGCAAGACAACAATACATTAATACTTAAATTTTCTTAATCCAGAACTTGACAGTTGCCACTACAAGAGAGTGCTATGAGATACATGCAACTAGGACTTCCCCCCCAAAAACTATTGACGCCTACACTGCCGGCGACCAGACCCAGTGCCGGTTGCCCCAGCTCGCTTCCTACTCCTACACCGTAATCCTCACCGTGTTCTCCACATTGCACGACCCGTAAAACAGTCCTGAAGTCATGTTCGTCCGCACACTGGACACTTCCCTCGACTCGACAACCGGACCGACCTAACGACACTTTGACTCCTGCACTGCGTGTACACCACCTCGCTTCCAGGCACTGACTGACAACTCAACTGGCGCCCAAAACAATCCAGCCCTCCTCTGGTCACTCCGTCCGTCTTTCTGTTTGTCCGTCTGTTTTCACGCCGTTTATCTACGGCCTTAGCGGAGGGGAGGAGTGAGTGTCCGGTGCAGACAGACAGACACCCCCTCCCTTCCGTCCAGTGCAACTACCACATCCCCCCACTCCCCACCCCTACTGCCCCGTGGCTCTTCCCTTCGCCAGGATGGAAATTTTCCCTCCAGGTGAAGGGAAGGGAAGGGAGTACTCGGTCCTCGGAAGAGAGGAGGGGAGGGGAGGGAGAGCCATACCGGTAAATTTCCACCCCAGTCTTCAGTAAAGTAGCCAAAAGGTAAGGAACCTTCCTTCGCCATTTGCCGCACTAGAGTTATCCAAAATTAAAGTAATGCCACAGAGCTGCTTTCAGACAACTTACACTTTCTTTCAAAGCAAAAGGTTTGTTAACTGTCCCATAATCTCTGAGTGGTGAGGATGCTACAACAAGAAGCAGAGAGAGAGAGTTTGCAGAAAATACTGAAGTTAGGTAGGCTGCAATGATACATAACATCCAAATATTACAGATGCCAAAAACATACCATTAGTGGTATCCATTCCCAAAATAAGAAGCACAAAATTGAAAAGACCACTTATATTTTCCCTAATGGGATACACTCACACACATGTGAAAAGAAAATAACGTAAGCCAAAAATTGTCCCTGGCCCGAGAAGACCAGAGTCAATGAATGATTACTGCTTAATGTCCACACACATAAATGTTCACAAGAAAAAGCTACCGACCAATCCTCCCTTCCTTCCCTCAGATAATCATCCATCGCTCACTCTGCCGTCCCCACCTCTTCTGATAAGGCTGGCCACTCCTCTTTGAACTCCGTCACACTCTGATTATGTAAAGCCAGACTGGGAGGTAAGGGAGGCCAGTTTCTTTTGCTCTTAAATTGAGGCATGCCCTTGACATAGATTGTGATTACAAACAGCTAAGAAATGAACATGCAAGTAAAGCTAAAAGTACTGCAGTGAAAATGTTAGCATGATACTGTACAAATAAACAACACAAAAATAGTTTTGAAACAAAAAAATTAAAGCAGGTGCATTAAAAATATTAGGTGCAGATAAAATAATGTAAGTCATCTTATCTCACTTACTCGTATTGGATTCAAAGCTGTGAGATCCGCCATTTTAGCGTATTAAGTCTATTGTGATCTTGCTTCACAAACAAAACACAAGAAGTAGATTAGCTTTGGGTCACAGATTACATACAGGGATACTCTAAATCATACAACACATTAGGGTTCTAGCATGGACAAAGGGGACCCGCTCTACTTCTGACATGAATGATTCATTGACACCTGCACCCACACCAAACATACATTCCCCAACACCATACAAACTGTAGCTACTACGGGGTACTAAAAAGGGTTCCGGTGCTGGGAATCACTGCCAAGTGTCAACTTGGATGCGGGGCCCAACGCCAAACTCTCTCCTCCGTGCTCAGTGCTCAGCCACAACATAAACAAGTCACAAAGGAACAAGGAACGATAACGCCCCTCAGGTCGGGGGGCCAGCGGACACCAATCGCACCGAGGAACCTGCACCGCCACTGGAAATCACGACAAGTCCGCGACAGCCTGTCAGAAGGGCCGAAACGGAGCAGCGAGACCAATTTCATGTAAACAAATGTGCACCCCAGCCTAACACCTGCTGGCCCAGCAAGCAGACGGTGCAGGGCCAGCCCGTCCAAAATGGAAGCCCCAAACTCACTTGGTGAAAGAACGTGGCTCGGAGAGGACGGCAAATCCGACCGCGCGCACCCAATTTGACTAGAAGCGCGACCCTTCCCACGATTGGGCCTCCGAACAGTGTTAAACTTTCCCAAGATCTGCCGTCCTGACGTTTTGGCCGTCTGGCCTTGATTTGGTTTTGTAACATGCACCGCCTTGTCGAAGCGTGTCGAAGCGCATCGCGCGCGCGAAGGCGGTGAGTGTGGGGGCGGGGGAGGGGGAGTGGAAAGAGAAGTGGGGGGAGTGTGTAATGATTTGGAGTGCTGAAAGCCAGGCGCAATTTATTTAATTCTTGGACGAGAAAACTCGAAGAAACTGCGACCAGTCGGGGCGAAGCGTTTAATTTTACGGAACATGAACCCCGTCGCGAGCATGCCACCCTGAGGTCAGTGGAACGGTGAGTTATCAGCAGCGAGAAAAACAGAAAAGACAGACTGCAGCAGACGACATTTTAGCGTCGTGCGAGAGTGGGTGTAAACGCACGAGTTTCTTTGTAACGAAACGAGTAAATTCTGACAGGATGTGCTTATTTCGCAGTGACGCAGTGACACTCCCAGCCCCGCCAGCTTCGAGGTTGGCCTCCGTCCCGTCTTTTTGTACTTAACCTCGCAGTACATGCAAGTTCTTCTCATCTATTGTCTGCATCTTAGTTTGGCAGCCTAACATTTTTGAACAGATATGAATTCTTAGATTTGGTGTGGACACACCCCCAGACTACAGTTTTGTTTCCAAATGCCCTCCGATTACCTTGTTTCTTTCCTTATCTTCTTTATCTTTTGTCACAAAGGATTCTTTATCTTGTTCAGTACTCTTAGATTGCTACGCATTTCTTTTCCCCTAAGGATTTGTTATCTGTCCTTCTAAGGGGCATGTTCAGTCTGCTCAAGTTTTCTCCGCTGTGAACTGTTGAAGACTCTTGTTTGTGTTGTGCTGGTGCCCAATCAACAGATTGGCAAGTGTGCATTGTCACATTGCTTTGTGGTGTGTGTGTTGGTGTCTGTGTGTTGGGGCCTGGTTAGGGGAGTTTCAAATGGGCCAACATGCTGCCAGATCCACACTGCCAGTCGTTTTGTTTTACTTGCACTGTGTTAGTAACAGTGCGGTAATTTTCCCGCCCCCAGCAGCGCGTTGAGTTCGTCGCACATTGGCCCTGGGCCTCTGTGGGGCTCGCGGTCGGCTGGGTTCGAACCCGGGGCCACCCGCTCGGCTGCTCGGCTCTGGAGGCCGCAGTACAGAGTGTGCCTGCTGTTGACAGGGTTGGCAGCCGCACCGCCGCCATGGCCAACTGGACGTCGCCGTCGGCCTCGGTGTGGCTGGACGGGCTGTTCTACCTCGCCGTGGCCCTGTCCCTGGCCAAGCTGGCCCTGGTGGCGTGGGGCTCGCCCGCCGCCTCCGCCGCCGGGGCCACCGCGCCGCCCAGCCCGGGGCCGCCGCCACCGCACCCGGCCGCCGAGGACGTCAACTACGACGCCATCGTGGAGGCGCCCGTCGCCGAGGACGCCCCCGGCCAGGACGCCGCGGACGTCGTGGACGCCCCCTCCGGGCAGGACGACGGCGCCGCGACGGACGCGGACCGCTGGCTGGTGGAGAACGACCTGGGCCACCACCGCGAGCTGCTGCAGCGACTGGGTGAGTCGCGGTTTTGGCGCCAAATGCTGTCTCCGTTCCTCCATAGTGCCTTCGGATCATCGGCGAGTGGCTCTGGGAGATAAGCGCTCCAGCACGCAGGGCAGCATGACAGGGCGGAGGGCCCAGCGGAAAGTTGGGGGAGCCGACGACGACCTGCTGGGCGTGCTGGAGGGACAGACAGTGTACTGCACACTCCATCCTCTTGGCCTCCTCGACGTCCTCGATCCAGCTGGACCGTGCTTGGCAGGCGCGCCGCGGGGCCGCGCCGTGTCGGGCCTCGTGTCGGGCCTCGTGTCGGGCAGGGTGTGCGTCTGTCTCGGCCCCGTCTCGATGGCCCTCCAGGGCGCGCTGCTCGGTGCGCTGCGCGCAATCGACTCGATACAATCGATGTCTGGTTCTGCGGATGCACCGCGGCACGTGGGGGGCCAAGGGGTTCAGCCAGGGCCGCCGGGGCCCCAGCACGTCGCTGTCTCTCTCGCACTCGTTGAGGCGAGGCGCAGCGACGAAGCTCTGTTCAGCCCGAAGGCCGGGGCGCCGGGGCTTTGGGCTGAGGGGCCCCGTCCGACCTTGGGGCTTGTCGGCCAGGGCTTGCCGGGGGCTTGCGGGGGGCTTGCGGGGCTTGCCTCGGCCTCATCCTCGTGGAGGCCCTGCATGCGGCCCCCGCGGCCCCCCGGGGGGCTCGGAGGGGGTTGCTCCATGTAGTGCGAACAGCTGACAACAAGGGGAGGGGGCGTCCGCAAGGTCGAGGATCATCTGCGGGCTCTCTCTCCCTCCCTCTGTCGGCCGGCGCGCACTCGCCGCGGAGAGAGCGAGAGAGAGGGAGGGACTCGCTGCGGGAGGCTGGCTATTGATCTGGACCAGCGCAGCCCCCCCCCCCCTCGCCGCCGCGCCCCGCACCTGGGGAGGACGTTCTGCATCTCGCTACCTCTTTCTGTGAGGCCTCCCCGCCCCTCCTGCTTCATTGGACGAACATCCCGCAGCGAGAGAAGAAAAAGAAGAAGGAGGAAGAAGAAGTGGAGATGAGAAAAAAGGAGAGAGCAGTTTTGCAGCTTGCCCCTTTTCTGGAGCTGCCGTCGAGGCTGCCATGCACCCCATAGGGGATTGGACAGTAACTGATGGCCCTTCACGGCGTGGCCCCGATCGGACGGGACGGCCCAACGTCCCAGCCGTGCACTTACAACCCATTTTCAGCGGCAAGGCCGTTTTATGCCATGATCAACTCCGTTTCCAACGACGTAGGAGGGCGCTTGCCGACTTGGACTTCCCTTTGCGTGAGCGGAGTGGTTGTTCGTGAATAGGTCATGAGTCACGTACAGAAGGACACGTCATCTTGGCGCGAGCGGCGGCTATGGTGCGTCCTGTACGTGTCAATGACTCGGCTCGTTTGCGGTGGTAGTGCTTTCCATGGAGTGTTACCGCGCGTGACACGCTGTCACGTTGTCACGCGTGACAGCGTCCGGCCTTTACAGTGTGTCAGGGAAGCGTCAGAAAGATGTCGCAAGGGGTGTCACGCGGTTGTCACGCCGTTGCGGCCCGGTCCCTTCACCTCGACCTCGTTGGCACACTTATTTACACGCGCCCCCTCCCGGCCGCCCCCGCGCCGCCCCCGACCGCCCCCGGCCGCCCCCACCCCAAGGTTGGGGGGGCTGCGGCGACTGGGGGTTCGGCTTGTTCGGCGCCCCCCGCGGGCCCCTCGCCTCGCCTCGCCTCCAGTCGCTTGGTGTGCAGGCGCCAGGGCTGCTCGCGGCTCGCTGGGGCCGCACGGGCCGCGTGGCCAGGCCGCCACGCTCCGGCCACGCTCCGGCCACGCTCCGGCCACGCTCACCCTGCCCGTCACTCTCGCCTGGCGCAGCCTGGCGTCGGTGGACCGGTCCGGAGGCCGGGAGCCATCGGGGCGCGCACGGCGGGTACCGCGCGCTGGGCGACGAGGTGTGAGTCTGATTGTGTCTGCGTGTGTTTTGGAGTTTGAATAACCGGGTCGGGGCAGGTGCTCATAGCTCGCTGGCGTGGAACTCCCCCCGCGAATGGACTCTACCTAAGGGCTGGGACACTGTGCTCCAGTTTCCAGTGCGGCATGTCAGGCTGACTCTATCCAGGGGCACAGTGGGTCAGAAGACCGGTGGAGGCGGCCAAAATTCTTGCCGCGTTTTGACCTGCAGAGTCACTTAAACAGGACTCGAACCGAACGTGTAACGCCACCAATGGACTCCTCGTTCGGAGAGCAATCCATTGGTGGGGTCACACGTTCGGTTCGAGTCCCATTTAGCGACTCTGGAGCTCAAAACGCGTCTGGAGTTTGGGTCGCCTCCACCGGTCTTCTGACCCACTGTGCAGTGTTGCGCAAGGATTCCGAACGATGGCGTGTCAACAAAATTGAATGTTGCCAAGCGCTTTGGCTCGCTGGCTCTGTAGTCCCGGACAGCATCCGTAAAATCTTCCAGCGACCGCGTTTTGGGAAAGCCCGGAATTTCCCCTCTGGAAACCCTCACGGTGGTTAGTGTCACGCAGGATTATCTTGCGAGGGCGATCGTCAATCGTGGTGGAAACCTTCCCTTCTGCTTTGTTTATGTTTTCCGAGATCCGATTTCCCTCGGAGGGAAAGAAGGGGTGGGAAAGCGAGGAAAATGAAATGAGGCTTTGTTAGAGTGGGCCATACACTAGTGGCGGCTCGCACGCAAGCCGAGCTAGCCGAGCCAGCCGCAGGCCGGCGGCACGCAAGGGGTCGAAGGGAGCGCGCATAAACCACTAAATCGGGATCAATAGACGGTTTTGAAACGCACCGCGGCACAGTGCGGGTTAAAAGGCCGGTGGAGGCGGACAAAACTCTCTCGAACCGAACGTGTGACCCCACCAATGGTTTCCTCGTCCGGAGCAATCCATTGGTGCCGAATTTAGCGGCGGTCCCCTTGCCTCCCCGACCAGTCCTAACCGTGTTTAATGAAACGGGGAAGGTTGAGTGCCTCGGGGCCCACGACCGATAGCCCGCCAGCCCGCCCATGGCTCGCCGGCACGCGCTGCAGGCGTGGTGCGGGGCGCGTGCAGCTCACACTCTGTCTCTCTCGCACTCGTGGGGCGCCCTGCGAGAGAGAGAGAGAGAGAGAGAGAGCGCCTGCCTGCAAGGCCTCGCAGATACGCCCTCGCTGCAGCCAAAAGGAATTCCGCCGCTGATCAACACTCTCTCGTTTCCCCGACCCGATTCGGCACACTGCTAACTACCGCCGCGTTCACGCTGGATAGAGTCTGTTTGACATGAGCACTTGCCCCGAAACCGGCCATTCGAACTCCAGAACCACCGCAGTGGAATCGCCCACCTTTGCCGCCAGAGTGAGATTGTGACGGAGCGTGGCGTTCCAGATGAAGCCGCTGCAGGTCTACAGGGTCCAAACCGTCCCTACATTCCCTCCAAATGCCGGGCCCACCTCTACGACAACCTCCACGACAACCTCCACGACGCCGTCCTGGCCGGCGCCGCCGCCAACACCCTCCTCGCCGTCCTCTCTCGTCCCTCCGCCCCTTTTGGCGCCATTTTTCGACCAAGTGAAGTTTGACCGTTGACGGCATGGGGCCCCCGGACCCCCCGGACGCGGCAGAGGGGCCCCAGCGGCCCGGAGCCCCCGCCCGGCCGACGCCGACGCCGCCCGACGACCTGTCCGGGCTCGTGCTGCAGGGCCTGGCCAGCATCGGCAGCACGCCCGGGACCACTCCGGGGACGTCGCCGACGTCGCCGCTGTCCTCGCCGGACGAGGGCGTCTTCTGCTTGTCGTCGTCGTCCTCCATCCTGGCGGCCGAGTCGTGCGAGATCCGCTCCATCGGCATGTCCTTGCACCCGTCCAGCAGCGCCTCGTCCGGTAAGGCCCGCCGCGGGGAGCGGGTTCGAATCCCCGCCGTTCGCTCCGTTTTCCTGCCAAAGTCCCAGGCCGTCCTCAGGGCTCTGGAGGTACTCGAGGTGCAGGACTAGGTCGTCCGTGCTACTCCGTGCTGGCCTCTGGGGGGCGATGCACGCACTCGTGTGACGAACAAAACCACACATGTCTCGCTATCAGTCAGCGACGCAGCCCCGACACGTGCGCAGTGTGGGTCTCACACTGGGAGCCTCTCTCTGGGATTCTTTCGCGAGGAGCCCCTCACCGGGAGCACTCCCTTGGCGACACGCGCCGCGACATTGGCGCGAGTCCGCGGGTCGTTGGGGTCGCGCCGCCTTGGCGCCGCCCGCCACCGAGTACCCCGTTACCGCCGTGTACGGCGTTATCGAGAACGCGACGACCTTGCCGGGCCCGCCACCACCGGGTGTGTTCGAATCTGCAGCACGCCCAAGCGCGCCCAGCGCGCCGCGCGGAAGTACGAGAGAGATAGCGACAGGCCGAAAGTAGTAGGGGCGGCAGACGGAGAGGGCCGCATTACACACGCCAAAAAGAAAGAAGTAAGAATCGTGGGGGAAAACATTTATAATTATCGGGCGTTTTGCTACAATTTATTTGTGAAATGTTGAGATGGAATGCCGGGATGGACTTGTTTTTCAACGGATGCGTTTCAGTGCCCCTTGCACGCGTACCCCTTCTGCCGGTGGCCGCGGCCGGCTGGCGGCAGATGGATGAAATAGAAAAAAAAAAGAGAATCAATGGGAATCCGTTATGCCGTATCGCTGGACAGCCGATTAGATAATCTGTTGGCGGCAAAACGATCTCGTCTGCCCGCGACATCGCGCCTATCCAGGCCAGCAAACAGACAGGCCGTCTGGCCTAGCCTCGCCTCACCTAACCCCACCTAACCTCACCTAACCCTTCCCAACCGCGCATTACCTCACTTTGTGTAAGCTCGCTCATCCCGCGCCCAACCTCTCCCCACACGTGCGTGGGAGTCCTGTTGGAACCCGATGGCACCGCGCCGCGGATTCAGACCCTTCCTTTTTGGGTCAATTACTGTTTACATCGGGGCGGAAAGCTCCGCTGTGCGCCGCTGAGCGCGCCACTGCATGGTCCTCTCGGCCTCTCTCTTTTCCCTCCGTTCGTCGCTGCCGTCAAACCTCTGGACGTCCCGCACCGTCCCTCACGGTCCGCACAGCGCGGCAGATTCCACCACGACGTCCACGACGTGTCCCAGATCGGCTTAGGATCACTGGGCCTCGCGGAAGCTTTTGACCTTAGGATTCGGGGACGCGCGAGTGCGCGGCAAAGCGTCCGGCAGTCGTTTGTCATAGTCGGTGTTGGATCAAGTCACAACCACCTGCTTTAAGAACATGGAGACCTTGCCAAAAAAATCCGGTGAAATTGCAAGGCACTGAGAGATAATGATGAGTAGTTAGTACTAAAGATGCCCCATACTACAATCATGTCCGCAGCCCAGGTAGAGTGGAAAGTTTCGAACCAGCCTAGTGCGTGAGAGTAACCATCCCCTCTCTCTCTTGCCATTTCCCTTCAATGCATTTTGAAGCTGGCCTCCCCCTCGCCCGGGCGGTCCAGGTGTCCACTGCGCAGTTTTGGCAAACGCGGCTCTGTTTGTTGTCGTGCGACGCAAGGCGGCGGCGGCGCGCGGCGACGCGGCACGCTCCGAGAGAGAGGGAGAGGGGCGGGGGTAGTCTCCGCAAACAGGGACTACAACAACACTGTTGGGGTAAAGCCCGAGGGAACTGTGAATAGGAAAGTTTTTTCGCGCCGTTGTGGGAGCGGCCTTGCTGGGCAAGGGAGGGCGGCCACCGACCACCGGCGTGCCCCATTCGACCACGCCCCGCCTTCTACCCTTCTCCGACACTCGGACAAATTTTCCACGCGCCGGGGGATGGTGGTGAACTGTCAACAACATTTTCACGGGGAAAACAGCTTTGTTTACTTTTTGACTTGGGAAAACAATCAGCTATGTAGGCTACTAGCGCCACGACATGTTCTACTAGTCTAAATAAAGTTAATAAAAAAAAACTCGATAAAAGCTTCTTCTGTTTTTTGAGGCGCTGATATCTTGGGTCTCAGTTTTAATTGGCAGTTTATTTGTTTCTTCTTGTTTTTTGGCGGTTCGACCTAAAGGGTTAGGAACGCTACACTCGCGTCACGTGAGGTCGCCGAAACGTGCATTGCACGTGTTTGCAGTGTGATAACGCATTCCTTTTCCACCCCCCGGTCTCTGTCTGTCTGTCTGCCTGCCTGTCTGTCTGTCCGCCTCAAGAGAGAGGCCGCGCCCTTGAGTCCGCCGTGCAAGTGTCTGCCTTTCTTTTCCGTTTCCTCATTCCCGTAGTCCGTCTGTCTGTCTGTCCGTCCGTCTGGGTGCACCAAGACGCGCCCTTATCAGACTTCACAAGGAAACAGGCTTCGTCATTGGCATGCCTTTCTCTAATGCGCGTTTCTCTGCCTGTGTGTGTACGTGTACGCGAGTGAGTGTGGCAATAAGTACATTAAATCATCCGACAGCTGTGGGGTCGAGGGGCGTGTCCATGCGTCGCGGCGTCGCGGCGGCCAGGCCTCGGGCCAGGCTGCCCCGCGTTGCCCCGTCTGGCTCTTAGGGTCAGTGGCAACTTGGAAATGCGCGGTCTAGATTGGCGACACTTTGCACTCGCGGGGCGAACAGATAGACGGACGGATGGACATCAGACTCGCGGCTCGGAGCCAGCCGGCGCCTGCAGTCAGACAGGTAGCCTGCCGCTGCGCAGGTGCGTTTGGCGGGCCGGCCTACGCGCCGTCCTGCAGGGGCGCTCCGCTCCGCTCCGCTCTAGAGTCCTAGAGAGCTAGCCCGCCATTTTCATTTTCTTGATTTTTCTCACCGCTTGAGGTGACGGCGCTCCCTTCTCTGTTCGCGACCAGCACCTGCGTATACCCCAAACAAAAAAATTTAGAAAAATAAAAAAGTTTTATTTTGACGGTGAGTGTTATGACAGTGTAGCGACGGTTCAGCCATTTGTGGCGAGCGCCGCCTAATCTGGCGTCCCCAGAGGCGGATTACAGGGGGCTTGGTGGCCGCCACGACCCCCCTGGGGCTGGGGGGGGGGGCCTTCCAGTGGGGCCCGTACAGAAAAATTCAGTACGCTTTTGGGTCGTTTTCGGGACGCTTTTAGGTCGCTCCCCTGTCGACTAGGTCGCTTTTGGTGCGCGCGCAGTGAGACTAGTACGCTTTTGGTCATCGAAACAAGGAGGACTGGTTCGCGAAGGGTGCGCTTTGCCGGGACTGGGGCGTGAATAGGACGCGTCGTTGGCCCGTCGGAGGCGTACTAGGTCGCTAAAGGTTCGCGTGCGAAGGGACTAGGTCGCTTTTGGTCACCGGCAGAGCGGACTAGTTCGCTCGGAGTACGCGAAACGCGGCCTCATCACGCCCCAGTCCGCCCTGGACGGGTACTATTAGCGTACTGGTGCGCTCTGCCGGTGACCAAAAGCGACCCAGTCCTCACGAACGCGAACCTTTAGCGACCCAGTGCACTGGTAAAACTAAAGCGTAGTATTACCCACTGTTTTCAAGCGTAATTAGTTTACGCTTGAAATCAAGCGTAACAGGCTCATTCGCCAAGATTTCCCCTATCTAAATGCAAGGGGAATTTCCGACTATGCTTGATTTCAAGCGTAACGTCTTCAAGCGTAACTTTATGCTTGACTCAAGCATAGAGTTACGCTTTAGTTTTACCAGTGTGCGCCTCCGATGGGCCACACGCACTGCCGTCGTCTTAGAGGCCGCACATTCTTCTTGCCCTCCGGTACCCTGTGCGAAGAGTTTGCCAAGGGGCATATTGGGGGCCCCCTTTGAACTACGTAGCCTATGTCTCTACCGTAGTTTAAATCATGGTAAAAGTAATCCGACAGTTTTAAATGCTGCCTGATAACAATCTGCCAGTAAGATACTAATGCCACGTCGCCAATCTAGTCACTAAATAGATTCAGCTTTGGTAACAAAACAATGAAACAGTGCCGATATGCAATTTTCAGCTCGTGTAGTTTTCTTCGGGTCAAACCTTTACCTCGGGGTCAAATTAAAACAATTTTCCCGTAGCACTCCTGTGCGCTTGTGACGAAGTATCTAATCATGATATCCGCGTCGAAAACCGCATCTCTCTATCTTTATTCTGGCGCCCTCCAGAGAGCGAAGACTGAGTGCGAGCGGAGCGCTGGGCGCCGAGCCGCGCTGAGCCAGTGAAGAGGCTCGCCTGCGGGCCCAGTCCTCGTGTTTCAGGTTAGCGCAGTGGGCAGCGACGTCGACACCGAGGATCCAGAGGAGTCCACATCACCGAAGGCCAGGGGGTTTGACTACCATCAGCACCGACGCCCTCAAAAGAAAATGCCAGCCCCTCCCCCAGTGTCGGCCCTCTCTTTTGACTCTCGGAATCGGACGGGGACTAAAAGCGTACTAGTCCCCCCGTCACCGAAAGCGAACTAAAAGCGTACCGGTCCGGCGCGGACTAGGACGCTTTGAGGGCGGTTTTTGGTACATTTGGGCCAGGAAGCGGACTAGTCCCCTCGTCGGAGGGGACTAAAAGCGACCTAGTCCACGCGTACCAAAAGCGTTCTGTTTGGGGACTAAAAGCGTACTGTATTTTTCTGTAAGGGGGTGGCGGTGGCGGCGCCCCCGGCAGCCCTGGCCAGCAGAGCCGCAGCGAAGGTCGCGCCGCGTTTTGCATGCGAAGGAGTCGCTAATGCTAATCCGATTGTCTCAGCCTCAGCGCCCTGCTTGGTGCATGGCAACCGAGTTGTCGCTTGCCGGCAGACGTCGCTGATTGCCTCTCTCGCACCTCTATGGAGCGCCCCACGGGTGCGAGAGAGACAGAGCGCTGTTCGGAACCAGCCCGCAGTAAGTCGGACAGTGGGTCCCAAAGTGCGTCTGGGCGCGGCCTTCCGATTGAATCACTCCTCGGGGAGGAGGAGGGGGGGGACGGGGAGGCAATGCGGGCCAAAGTGTCACCGCCACGCCCGCGGCCACGCCGAGTGCATCCCTGCCCATCGTGATGCTGGTCCTGGTCCCACGGAGCGCCGGTCAGACAGTTCCCCCCATTTTTACGGAGTGGAGTGGAGCTTCGTTTACAAAATTCAATTACAGAATTTTTAAAGACCTTATTGAAAAAAATAGTAGCACAGTTGGTCGTGCTGTGGGGAAGCCCCCCGTGCCTGAGTCCCTCGAAGTGCACCAGAACGTCGACGTCGTCCTCCAGGCACTGCTCCGCCAGGTCCGGGACGTCCGCCACTTCCTCCTATCGTCCAGTGCACGGCGACCGACGGCGGCACGGCGCAGGCCTAGGGTGGTCCAAAAAAAAATGAAGTTGTTCGGATCGTCCAACGCCGCCCGGATTTGGATTCTACATCGAAAAAAATGAAATACGTGTTTTTTCCTTTTTCGAAAAAATGATTTTTAGGACCTCCTCAAAGCCCTCAAAGTTTTTAACAGTGCTCTTAATAGGAAAAAATCGTAACTTGGTCATTTTTTGACCGATTTTCAAAAACGAAACGGGGATTTGTTCGTCTTTGAATGCTTATTGCGAAAATAAATATGCCCAACCCTCATTTTGGTTTGCCTAACTTTCAGGGGCAAAAAATGACTAAATTTCGGCCCAAATTGGCAAGAGTTTCAGTTTGTAGGCCGCTACAGTCACTCCAAGACCTTCCTGTCAGCATGGCGGGGTGCCCCCACCACTAGGCAAGCCCCATGAACAGAAATGAGATGCCGAGTGCAATTTGCCTACCTCACAGGGGCATCAAATTGTGGATTTTTTCGAAAATCTGTCAAAAGTGGTGTCTCTTGGGGCCTCTGGGCACTCAGATGGGCACGCTTTCGGTACCCGCACTACGTGATATGAACAAACAAAAGGAATGGACGTTGCTGACGCGAGGAAACGCAACCACGCAAGGCCACAAGGAAAGCCATCAAAATAAAGGAATTTTCTAAATTTTCACGTTTTTCTGGTCCTGAGAGGAAGGCATGAGGTGCTCAACAGTCAATTCTCATTGTTTGTTCTTATCACGTAGTGCGGGTACCGAACCGGGTGAAAGCGTGCCCATCTGAGTGCCCAGAGGCCCCAAGAGACACCACTAGTGATAGATTTTCGAAATAATCCACAATTTGATGCCCCTGTGAGGTAGGCAAATTGCACTCGGCATCTCATTTCTGTTCATGGGGCTTGCCTAGTGGTGGGGGCACCCCGCCATGCTGACAGGAAGGTCTTGGAGTGGCTGTAGCGGCCTACAAACTGAAACTCTTGCCAATTTGGGCCGAAATATAGTCATTTTTTGCCCCTGAAAGTTAGGCAAACCAAAATGAGGGTTGGGCATATTTATTTTCGTAATGAGCATTCAAAAACGAACAAATCCCCGTTTCGTTTTTGAAAATCGGTCAAAAAATGACCAAGTTACGATTTTTTCCTATTAAGAGCACTGTTAAAAACTTTGAGGGCTTTGAGGAGGTCCTAAAAATCATTTTTTCAAAAAAGGAAAAAACACGTATTTCATTTTTTTCCATGTAGAATCCAAATCCGGGCGGCGTTGGACGATCCGAGCAACTTCATTTTTTTTTGGACCACCCTACGCAGGCCACGGCGGCTCGTGCGGCTGATGCGACCGCAGGTCATTGCCCCGCGCGTTTTGTCCACTGTTTCGTCATTTTGTTACGTGTCATCTCGTAAAAAGCGCGCCGGCCAAACAGTGGCGGTGCCGGCGAGCTCGTCCAGGAGGCCGTGACTGCTGGTACAATTCCAGGGCGCGGTCGATCTTTTTTGGCCCGTCCCGTTTATTTTTTGTAAAAAAATGACGGAGGGACGGGCATATAGTATGATGCATGCTGTGCGTCCGTTCGTTCGTTCGTTCGTCCGTTCGTTCGTTCGTTCGTTCGTCCGAGGACTTCCCGTGGTCCGATCTTGACCAAATTTGGTATGCAGCCTCCTTGGGTGACCCTAAGAACCGCCCGGTGGCAGCAAATCCGATCCGAGCCCCGGGGGCGCTGCTGCAGGTGCATCATGGTCTACATGGGGTCGAGGAGGATCTCGGCAACGGATGCAGCTAGGAGGGCATGTAGGGGTATTTTTGGAATCGGGGCGACGAGAGAAAACCAATGGTGCCAGTTTCGAGCAAATCGGAGAAGTTCGGACCCGGGTTCAAATCCCAGCGGGGTATTTTTGGAACATTCTTTTTTTTCGAGTTTTTGCATTGTTTCTGATGTTTTTGAGGGTGCTGATGACGAAAACGACATTTATTTTAACCCCAGACTCAGATTTAATTCCCGTCAGGGTCAAACATAGGAGAAATTCGTACGTTTCTTAATGTACGGGACGGGCCAAAGTTGCCGATGTATATCGCTACTTTTCCTGTTATTTTTCCGATCGGTGGATCGGATCTTCCATCTCCCGTCTTCCCCGCGGACGGCCGGCGGCTAGCTCGGACCGCTCGGGCTCGGACCCCCGGGCCTCAGGTCGATGGCCCCTCGGGGGAAGGGGCAGCCCTGGGGCAGCCCTGGGGCAGCCAGCACGCAGCACGGCGAGTGACGTGGTGGATCACCCTGGGTGCCCTAGGTAAACGCCACGCGCTGTGTTGATCGTGTGCCACCGTGTGCCGCTCCGTGTGCCGCCCTTGCCCTTGTGTCGCCCTGCGAGCAGTGCAGCGAGCCCTTGACGGATCAAGGCCCGGCTAGTGGCCGCCTAGTGGCCGCCTAGTGGCCGCCTAGTTGCCAACAGCCCGATGGCGTAATGTCCACAGGCGGCATTACGACACTTTGAACGCGCAATCGCGATTCGCTGAGCTCGCATTCCTTGCACGCGAACAGTGTTTTTCTTTATCACGCGCGCCACGCACTGTGATGTCGTCGCTCTGTTTCTCTCGCACTCGTGGACGGCTGCTGCCTTGGAGACATGACGACTCCACGCGTGGTGGAGGCTCAAGCGTACGCAGCAATGTCCCACCCCGCCGAGGCGCGCCCGCTGTGGCAGGGGGCAGGGCCAGCGGCAGGGCTTTCTCGTGGACCGCCAGGACCGCTTGTTATTTTTCACGACGTGTTTTTAACGGTGGCTTGACAAATGGGTGTCGTGGTTACGCCCCCATGCGGGCGGCCACGCTGGGGAAGTGGGGCGGTGGGGGCGGCCGCCGGAGCGCCCGTTGTGAATCAATTTGTGGCACCCCGTCGGCCCATGTCGGCGTCCCGTCGCCGCGGCAACCATGTGTCGCGTCTCAACGACCGACCGCCCACAGTGGCCCCTTGCGACCCATCGATCTCTGATCTGCGGGCTGATTTCCGAGGCAACCCAACGCACACCGCGACCCAGCCCGACGCCTTTGGGATAGGCAACCCAACGCACGCGACGCACGCACCGGGGCAGGCGCGCCCGGACCGCAGGCAACCCATTGCGCTCCCGGCGCGCACTGCTTGACTTGACTTGAAAGGCTAGACCACAACTGATCTTATGCCGGTTCGAGCCCGCTAAACTGCCGTCGCAGCCGCGGTGCCACAAAAAAAGTGGAGGTGCGGGGTATCGATCCCCGTACTTCTCGCATGCTAAGCGAGCGCTCTACCATCTGAGCTACACCCCCTTGGTGGGGAGAGGCGCCTCGCGCGCCTTCCTCGTGGCCCGCTTGTCGGTGGTCAGTGCGCGCGCGCGATTCGAGTTCGGGAAGTTCAGGCGGCGCGGCGGGCCCTTCGCCTCGCGCGCGCTCGTCGTCGCGCCGAACCGGCCGAAGCCGAACCGAAGTACACGTGGGGGGAGAACAGCTGCTCGGGACACGTTGATGTCGACGCCCGTGCGGCTCAGGGGAATGTGCGGTCCTGTGGCGCAACGGATAACGCGTCTGACTACGGATCAGAAGATTCCAGGTTCGAATCCTGGCAGGATCGGGTGCACTATTTTTAGCTCAAAGAAAAACAATTTGGCAGGATCGGGTGCACTATCTTTAGCTCAAAGAAAAATAATTTTAAAAATTAAAAAGAATTTTTTTGTGGAACTTCTATTATCTTTGTTTGCTTGATGCCTTTTAAGTATGTCCCCTGTAAAATACTCGAGAAAAAAGCCCACTGAAAAAGTAAAGGTCTGTGCGAAGTTTATATCCCGGCTGGCACTGCGAGTGGGTGATAAAAGTAGCCTGGCTGTGTCGCAGTGTCGCGGTGCTTCATTAGCGATGCGATGCCGTTTTGTAATCTTGGGACGGCGGCCTTCACGCGGCCAGTGTCTCGGGATATCTGAGGTGTCTCAATACCGGCAGCCGAAATAGCTCAGTTGGGAGAGCGTTAGACTGAAGATCTAAATGTCCCCGGTTCAATCCCGGGTTTCGGCACCTTCTCTTTATAAAAAAAAATTCAAAAGAAAAAATTTTTTTCTTAGAAGTTAACCAGTGAACTTTAATATGTTGCAGGTATTTCGAGCCTTGTTAGCTGCGCTACATTGACAGAACTACCCGACTTTCCGGAACTACCCGAGTACGATGAAGCCAGGTTGCAGAGGGCGGCACATTCCCTGCGACAGAGGCTGATCCTCAGGAGGTGGCTCAACCAGCTAGGCCTTGGTCAGCACTACCACAGGTATTTACCTCATCATATTTTGCTTTGTTTTCACTAAAAAAAATTGATGGCTGTCACATCATTTTTTTAATTATTTAAAAAAATTGTTTTTCTAGATTGATACATGCAGATGTAACAGCTCTGGAGGATGTGTACTGGCTAGAAGATAGTCGAGCCCAACAGTTGGTGGGCAAAGACTTTGCTCTTTGGTCTGCCGCTCGACAGACTCTTCCTTCATCTAAGGAGCAACTAGAGTGGCTGAAAACCGAACTGTGGTCCGGTGTCGTAAAAGAGAGTCAACATGAGGATGCATGGACATGGGGTGAGGATGAAAGACAGTTTAATCATGTAAGAATTTGTAATACCCTTTAATTACTGAATTCAATATATTGCCTGTGTGTTCTAGGCGGCATGCTGGTTGTGTCGGTGTCTGTGGCGGGCCTGGTTACGCTGGCTGCCATGACCCAGCCTTCTCTCGCTCCTGAAGCTAAGACGTCTCTTCTACAATATGTTACGGGCAAATATCTTTTGCCCTCTAATTGCACTGTCATTTTTGAGTGGGATGAACCAGCTGTTGTTGGTGAAACTGTAACATTCACAGTCCGTGTAAGTATTTTTTTAAAAATGTTCTCTTAATAATCGAAAGGGGAGAACCCCAACTGATATTTTTTTCTTGTCTTACAGTTTTACCAACGCAATGGACAGCCATACCCAATATGTGACACAGATAGTCTTGTAGTAGAGGTCACTGAAGGGCTGCGCCGCATAGCTACCTTGTCAGAACTAGGTGGTACTGAGCCATCTAAAGCAAACATCGCAAAAGTCAAATTCACTGTACGTCATGCTGGCGTGTACCGTATTGTTGTATTAGTGGGTAGTTGCCACGTTCAAGGAAGTCCTTTCCACAAGAAGTTCCTCCCCGGTAAATCTTCTTTCCTGTTGGATTTGTTCTTGTGTGCTGCTATTGTTGGGTCTTTGAAATATTAATGCAATTTTTATGTTACATTAGGACCACCAAATCCAAGGAACACAGTTTTTGTCCGTCACAGCTCTACTGTTGTGTGTACTGCCAAAACACCTTATCCATTGTACATAGAGCCAAGGGATGAATTCAATAATCTGTGCTCTTTTGAAGAAGACGAGGATCCTCTGCAAGGATATGCAGTGAACATAACTGGAGTAAGTTCTGAATGACCATTAAATTTAAATTGAAAATAACTTATTTTTTCTAATGACTTGGGCTGTAGTTAATTAAGAAATTATTTATGAGTGCATCTATCTATCTCTGTGGCAGGTTGGCAGCACGGACCCAGCTGATTGCACAGTGAATATGGAGTATGATCTTTTCACATTTCGAATTGAGCTCATTATATGTATCATCCCTGAGGGTTGTTACCATGCCTGTGTGAGCTATAATGGAGTCCCACTTAACAATGGAGAATTTGACATCATTGTCCTTTCCTGTAAGACCCCCAACCAGTTATTTTTTAGTGTCTTTCTTCTTACTTTGATTTTGCACTGCTCACTGTTCTTTCCTCCTCCCCTCAGCCAATGATGCAAATTTGGTGTATAAGAATGTTGCGTCAAAGAACCACAATATTTGTTATGAAGCGCGTCTTGTAAGCCTGAATGGAGAAAGACTGGTAAAGCCGCGGCGTGTGGCTTGTTATGTTTCCCCTAAGCAGGTCACCATCAAAGATTACGTTCTGAAATTCTTTCCTAAAAGGCTGTACACTTTTCGTCTTTGCCCCTCAACTAAGGTATTCTTCTTTAAAATATTCATAAAGTTTGATTGCATTCTTCTTTATAAAATCAAAATCTATTATTTATTTATGATTTCAGTTTATCTACCTTGGTAACAACAACCAACACTCTGGTCTACCTGGATTCATTATAGATGACGGCTCACAACCAAAAATAGAATTAGTGGCTCGAGATAGAAATGTTTTAGCTGCAACTTTTACTCACTTCCTTCTGAAAAATATAGGTAAATTACAAGATGGTCCTTATCCCATTATTTGACAAACCATCTGTTATAGATTGAAAAAATCAGTCATTTCTCTGTTTTTGTTTATTTAATGGTCTATTTTTATTTTTAGGAGGATCTGAAACATTCAAAGACAAACGAGACTTTTTCTACCATGAAGTCAGAAAAATGCACCAGAAACATTTCCATGAAAAGTTGAATCTGCGGGTACTGCGGGAGAAACTACTAGAGTCTGTAAGTGGAATTTCGCTCTTGGATTGCTTCTTGGATTGATATAAACATGTTTTCCCTCAACGACCGATTTTACTTTTCAGTCCATGAAAGTCACAAAGAATTTCTCAGTTGGTGACTGGTGCCGAAACTTTGAAGTTGCTTTTATAGGAGAGCAAGGAATTGATTGGGGAGGAGTGCGTCGAGAGTGGTTTGAATTGGTGTGTGCATCGCTTTTCGATTCAAGGAACATGCTCTTCAGCGCGTTCAGCGAAGGAGGCAATCAGCAGGCACTTGTCCACCCTTCACCAGCCCACAAACGGCCTCCACATCTCAAACTGAAACACTTGGAGTTCGCTGGTCGCATTGTTGGCAAATGTCTGTATGAATCATCTCTTGGGGGTGGATACAGACAAATGGTCCGGGCCAGGTTCACTAGATCATTTCTTGCCCAAATTATTGGCCTCAGAGTTCATTACAAAGTAGGTATTTCAAACTTGCCTCTTACCACGTGAAAGTTTTGCTGGAAATAATCCTGTCATTGATTTACTTTTTCTTTCCTCTCCATCTTGTAAAGTATTTTGAGCAGGATGATCCTGAGCTGTATTTGAGCAAAATTAAGTATATTCTGGAAAATAATGTTGAAGACATGGACCTGTATTTTGTGGAAGAAGAGTATGACAGGGCTGGCCAACTTGTCCAAGTATGTGGACTGTTATCAAATATTTAATTTTTTCTTCTCTTCAATTTCTAAAAAATGCTCATTTCAATTTTTTATTTTTTTTCAGGTTGTTGAGTTGATTCCAAGTGGATCCAAAATTCGTGTCCAAGAATCAACCAAACAACAATATCTAGATGCTTTAGCTCAGTACCGTCTGGCGACCAGTGTTAGAGATGAAGTAGAGGCATTTCTTAAAGGGCTCACTGATCTTGTCCCAGACAACCTGCTTAGCATCTTTGATGAAAATGAACTTGAGGTAAAACCAACACATGTATTGAAATTTTTATCTAATTTGTCACATTTTAAATAAAATGTTTTTTATCATATCTTGTATTGTTTAAACAGCTGTTACTCTGTGGAACTGAGGAATACAATGTATCAGACTTCAAGGCAAATCATGTCATCAATGGTGGCTCAGCTGATTTCCGTCGGTCTCTTGAATGGTTCTGGACAGCTGTTTCTAACTTCACAAAAGAGGAAATGGCTCGGCTTCTTCAGTTTACAACTGGTTGTTCTCAGTTGCCTCCTGGAGGCTTCCGTGAGCTCAGCCCTCGGTTTCAGATTACTGCTGCTCCTACTTTTGGATCTTTACCTACAGCACATACCTGGTTAGTCATGAAGGAAAAACATTTTGGCACCACAATGTGTTTGAAACTTTCCTAATTGTTGCTTTTTTTGTCATTTTCAGTTTCAACCAATTGTGTTTACCTGAATATGAAAGCTACGAGCAGTTTGAGAAGGCCCTACGAATTGCAATCAATGAAGGCGCCGAAGGGTTTGGCTTGTTTTAACAAGTGATTGCATCCATCATCCCAAATCATTCCTTTCATTTATCTATGAAGATTATTGCTATAGTTGTGACACTTCTGTGTTATTGAGAAGTTCATGTCAAAGTATGATGTGTAGGCATAATGCGAGTAAGGTGTGTCAAAGAGATGAAACATGTAGATAGGTAGATGGCTTTTTTTGTTTAAATATTGTGTTGTCTCTAGAAGTGTGGTCACACAAAAATGACCAATACCTTATATAATGTACTCAGTAAATGACATAAAGGACCAGGTGGTGTCCTGAAAAAGTTTCTATCTTTTGTGGCACTCCACTTTTGAATGGACTCAATGTCAAAGTTAGATTTGTTTTGTTACTTTTGCTATTTATTAAAACATTGAGATTTTTTTATGTCTTCAAATGTTTTTTAGGGGCTGTGATGTCTTTGTTTTACTCATTTTAGACTTTGAGTTTAGCTCAATGAATCGTTTTGTGAACATTCCTGTTGTTACCATCTGATATGTCTGATTTTAGCTATATTTTGCAAGTGATTTATGTGTTGCAAGTATTTTGCAAGATGCCGTCTACTTTACTTGAGAATTCCTTTTTCCTAAAAAGACAACTTGCTGTCATGAGTTGCCATGTTATAAAAGAGTAGTTAACTGCAACATTCCATTTTCTAGATTTGTGATTCAAAAGTTTCCAAATCGATTAGCATCCATTTAAAGGGACCATTTTCATAAATTCAATCCCATACTGGATCATCAAATCATGTTGCACATTTTGCACAAGGAATATACAGTTAGTTCCTGTAATTAAAAATTATCATTTTTAACAACTGTAGTGTGTTTACTTGTTTGTTTGTTTTTAACATTTTTGACCACTAGCTGTTTAACATTATTACTCATGCTATTTACTTTGGCAGAAAAATTTAGTCTATTGCATTTTTTGTTGTTTGTTCACCACAAAGCTGCAATTTTTTCTTTTCAGTAGAGCTTGGATTGTCAATTTTCTTAACTTTATGAACCAAGTTTATTGTTGTTGAAAAAAGATTCTGGTTCCAGATGAGGATGCCAATTCTTTTATGGGATCAGTCAAATATTCCAAAGTTAATTGGAACCTGGATCTCTCAATTTTCCTTTCTAGAGTATTTTAGATTAGAGAGCAAGGTCGGGCTGCTATGCCCCCTAATCTGTAAATTTGGCTGTCAAAGGCTGGATCGTTGGAAGATTAGGGATAGCCGAATAGATAATAAACAACTGTGATAGATTTGCTGTTCTATTGTTAACCAATTACCATTTAATGATAAGAATGATGGGGCTCCCCTCATAAATATTATGATATATGATCAATGGTTGTGCCTCAATAATTATGTATTTCATAAGATCCTCTCACATTCTCTAACTTCAAGATTGTTCTAATGTTAATTTCTTTTAAAAAGTCATTTGTTTTTCTGGAGTTTTTTTTTCTTGTCATGTTTGCTGAGATTGTAGTAAATGATGCAGAAGCTAACTTTTGTCTGTAGTACCTTAGCTGCAGAAATGGAAGGGTTCTATTTTTAGCCTGTCAACTGCTGCAATTTATTGGACCTGGAATCAATGAAGGAAGTGACTTTGTTTGTAAAATCTTAGCTGCATAGAAGCAGTAGAAGGTAACTTAAACTGAGCTTATAATGATTTGTTAGATTTCACTAGAAATGTTTTGGTGCTAGATGTGATATTCCATGGCTGGTTCAGAATGCAAAGGTTCCAGCTCTAATTTTTTAATTTTGTTTTGTTCATACATTTACTCATTATAAAAGAACACAAATGTCTGCCGGAAAGGACTGTAGTTTTTGACTAGAGTTTCTGCCACTTTTGCTCAGATTTTGCTTGTGGTTGATGCCTCCTTTTTTTGAGGTCATTGGGGAGAAATTTAGGCATATCAGAAACATTATAACATTGACAATACATGCCATGTGGCCCAACTTGATACCATATTGTGGTTTTTAAGAACGGGGTTCTATCTTTGACCAGCTATGCTCACATGTTGGGGAGTGGAATATGAGCTGCTCCACTTTGTGTATACTTGTTAATATTTCTAAGTAAGTTCCAAAAGTACCTGTTAGGTAGCGGAACCATGCTCATATTGTCATCAATTTAATCCCTCACGTCCATATGTGACAAATTTATTTATGACCTAATGTAATTTATTATTCCATCATGAAGCCCTCAGCAAGGGAAAGTAACTTATTGTCCCCAGACTTATTGTAAGATCATGAAATGTTTGTGATTCTGATTTTGCTATTTTGCATTATTCTTGTGCATTTGGCTATGCTCCGTCCACTTCAAAATTGTAAAGTCTCGCTTTTAAAGAACAGCATGCAGTTTGGAGTGAATATTTGTGGAGGGTATATATAGAGACAAAGTTTCATTATTTTATTTTTTGCTCGGGGAGAAAACTGCTGTTGAAACATGGCATTTGAGTAATATTATCTGTGCTGCCAGATAAGCATGTTTCACTCAAAATAGTAATCACCTGCTTTTCTGTCCCTGACGCACCCTTCTATTCATACAGTATTACCAAATAATCATTATCTACACTGGTAATATAAAAGTACAAACAGTCTTGACAACTAAGAAAATTTTAAACAATGATTGTAAACTATGTAGCTTGGTTAAGAAGGAAACTTACATGTAACAAATGTTATCTATGATCTCAGGACTCTGATTGTATGGAGCTACTGCATAAAAAAATAAACACGATTTGGCTCTGTTTTCTGGCTCTCATCTAACTTTGCTCACAGTTGTGGCTCCCTACAGCAGCACATCGTCATGTTACTTTCCTCGATTGGCAAGCGACACTCATTCTTGAGGCAGTCATATCAGTCGACACCCACATACAGTGATGTCGTCCGCAATGAGGAACCGGTAACGAAGCAAGAAACAAAACGAAGCGTGAACGGACACTGGGATTTGGCGCGAAGCGTGCTCACGGCGCTCTGGCGGTCCTGGCTGGGGGGTACGAGCTGGGGCAGACGGCCACGTACACGGCGTGCAGCAGCCCTAGGGGGACGCTCAGCACCTGCAGCAGGCGGCACACGGAGCGCCGCGGTGTCCGCTCCAGCTCCAGCAGGGTGCGGGTGCGCTCCAGCTCCTCCCTGTTGAAGGCGTCGTACAGGTTCGCGGGCAAACCGCCACTGCTACTCGGCCCGGGGCTCGCAGGCGTCCCGGGCGCACGCTGGCTCCTGCTCGGCCTCCAGGGCCTCTCAGCACGGAGCGCGCCGTGACCCTCCGCAGCTCCTCCTCGGCCTGCTCCGCCGCGCGGCTCACCCTGGCGCCGTGTTGAGGCCCGTACCCGGTTCGCCCGGGTGTGAGAGAGACTAGACCAAGCCGTGTTGGCAGGTAACCGCCCGCACGCTCCTTGGGGCCCTGTCCCTCTCGCACCGTGGGTCGGAGAGACAGCCAAGCCCGTGTTGGCAGGCTAACCGCCCGCACGCTCCTTGAGGGCCCTGTCCCTCTCGCACCGTGGGTGTGAGAGAGACTAGACCAAGCGCCGTGTTGGCAGGCTAACCGCCCGCACGCTCCTTGAGGGCCCTGTCCCTCTCGCACCGTGGGTGTGAGAGAGACTAGACCAAGCGCCGTGTTGGCAGGCTAACCGCCCGCACGCCTGCGCTACGGGTGGCCTACCCGCCCCGTTGCAGGGGCTCCCGCTGGGCCGTGTTCACGTTCCACAGTGGGCCAGAACTGTGGAGGCGACCAAAACTCTTGACACGTTTTGAGCTCCAGAGTCGCTAAATGGGACTTGAACCAAGTGTGACCCCACCGTTCGGGGAGCCTCTAACGGTCTTCTGGCCCACTGTGCGTGTTCGCGTTCCTTGGCTCTTACCGCTCGCAGTCGCACCGCGCCGCCTCCAGCTGCACTCCAGCCTCCTTCAGCAGCGCCTCCGTCCCCGCCACCTGGCGGGCAGAAGACAAGACGCGGTCCCGGGTTCAAATACCGACTGTTTGATACTTTGTTTCTAGTTTCAGGGGTGACGTTGCCACGTTGCGAGAGGTGGCGTAGGGCGGGGTTCCCTCCCAATTATTTGCATTCGTCGCTAAATATACCCAGGCCAGTGGGGGCTGCCTACCGTGTACCCGCGTGCGCGCCGTGCGCCGTGCGCCGGGGTTCCCGCTACCGAAACCGCACCCACGCAGTGCCGCGCTGACAGGCGACCGGGTCTTTGCGCGCCCATTTTCTATTTTCAGCCCCCGCGATACAGTGTAACAGCGGCGAATGCATTTGTCGTGCCGGCGGCCGCTATTTCCAGCCAGACTCCGTTCGGCGTTCGTGTGCGGAGGCGGCCGGAGGCGGCGCGGGGTTATGTTTGGAACTCCGGTCGCTATTTCTGGGTTTCTGGCGGCGCGGCGGTGCGGTGCGCGGCGGGGGAGGCGCCATGCGGGCACCGACGGCACTGCTCACTTGCGCTTCCTCGCGCTGCGCTACGCTCCTCAATGAAGGCCGACAGGGAGGAGCGGAGAGCAGCTCGGGGGAACCTGGGAAACCCCGCCACCCAGTGCCGCCTAGGCCGCTTGGCCGCCAGGCCGCAGGCCTCAGTGTTGCCAACATAAGTAGGCAATCACCCACGATGGTCTCCTGCCAGCCTCAGCTTGCCCATTCGCTGCTTCTCCAGAGCAAAGCCTCCAGTCTGACGCTGTCCGAGCAGCACAGCACACAGTGGGCCAGAAGGCCGGTGAGGCGGCCAAAACTCTAGATGCGTTGTGAGCTCCAGAGTCACCAAGTGGGACTCGAACCGAACGTGTGACCCCACCAATGGAAACCTTGTTCGGAGAGCAATCCATTGGTGGGGTCACACGTTCGGTTCCAGTCCCATTTGGCGACTCTGGAGCTAAAAACGCGTCCAGAGTTGGCCGCCTCCGCCGGTCTTCTGGCCCACTGTGGAGCGGGGGCTGCAGCTCGGCTTAACAAGGTCCCCTCGTTGACAACGACAGCGCCACATTTTCAGGGCACGCCGCTCACTTGGCGGTTGCCAGGGAAGCGGCGAAGCGGCGCTCAGTTCCACGAACCGGCCGAGAGGGAAAGGGGGTGGGGGGAGGGAGAGGGTTGTCAAGTTGCGAGTTCGCCTCTGCGCGGCTGTGCCAGCGGTCGGGAATCTTTAATGGCTTTTCGCAGGCGGACATGAGCGAGGCAGCGAGGCAGCGAGGCTCCATAAGTCCGTGAGCGGGGAGCTGCCCGCACACCTGGGCCTCATCCCGAGCCAGTCAAGTGTGCTGCGAATAATGGAAAAGGGGATCCGAGTCCGGAGACGATCTAAAATGTACAAAAAGAAAGGGGAAAAAAATCCTGCTTTGGTGGTCAAACCTTGGGTCGAACTACGGGTAAAATGCTAGTTGACAAGGGATACAAATCGAGTACGACTGGAAATGAGTTGGAATTTACTTACAAATCTTATATCATCCCGGGAAGAGCGTCGCCCGAAACAGTTTACTATTCGTCAATAAACTGCCTCAATTTTTTTTTAAAAAAATGACAAATGGTTGATTGGACAGCCAGTCACTTGACTCTGCCGCCCACGCTGTCGATCTTCCTCCGTGTTTTTCCTGTTTGCAGTGTGGGAAAGCCTGACAGGCGAGCTGGGCGTGGAGAGCTGCCCGCGAGGTCGACTGCCCCAGGTGAACGTTGTCAGACCGCGCGGCGAGTCCTCTCGCATCCCCCCCCCCTTTTTCTCCCGGCTTCCAGGAACAGCTGGTCCTGGTTCTGGTGTGGATGCTCCCAAAGTCCCCCCCCCTTTTCCCCTCCACCGTAAACACGAGCCGGATTCCTGGAATCGCGGCCGGAGGGGGCCCGTTCGATGCAGGGGTGGGGTGGGGGCGCTTCCAGGAACCGGCACGCGGGCTGGTCCATGGCTGGTCCATGGCGCGCTGCTGCTGGCCCCTTTCTCTCTCGCACACATTAAACAGACATCTTGTTCCCTCGCTCCCTCTATCTCTCTCCCGCGTTCCAGGTTTCCAGCCCGCTTCCAGGGAACGGTTAAGTGGCGCCGCGCTGTCTGATAACGGCCGTTCCACAAATTCCAGGAATTCCAGCCGCGGCTCCAGCTGCGCATGCTGCGAGCGTGTGCAGCTGTCTCTCTCGCACTCGCGAGCCGTCCCGTGGGGCCGTGGGGAGGTGAGAGAGACAGAGAGACAGCACGTGCATAGGGGTGCAAGGCCCGCACTGGCCCGAGGCACGTGGGCATTCCCGGCGGCTGTCGGGTTGGGGCAACTCTTCCGTCTCTGTCTCTCTCGCTCTCGCGGCGCGTCGCACAGCGGTGCGAGAGAGACAGAGCGAGCGACATGTTTGGAATCGGGCGGTGTACATGGCCAGGCACATGTGGCCGATCGGACATGTCCGCACGGCGCCGCACGGCCTCCACGTCGCATCGCAGTGGCCGCGCGTTGCCTGGCGTTGGCCCGTGACAGTCCCTGGAACGCCATGACTGCCATGACACCTGCCAGCGGCCTATGGGCACCGCGGCACCGCGAGCCAACCCCGGCACGTACCGCCCCATGGCAGCCCCCCCACTGTATTCTCCGATCAATCCGCCCCGCTTGCGAAACGCGGCTAGTAACAACACGGTCGACTTGCCCGGCTTGCCCCCCTGTCGGGAAGCAATGGCCTACAGAGTGGCGGCGGAGCGAGCGAGACAGAGAGAGGTGTCCCCCTCGCGACAGATCCCCTCCATCACCCCCGTATTATCGCTTTGCTCCTCGCCATCACGCTAGGTGTGAGAGTGAGAGAGAGAGAGAGAGAGAGAGAGAGAGAGAGAGAGAGAGAGAGAGGGAGAGAGAGAGAAGGACTCATTCGTCAATCCGCGGTGCGAGAGAGAGTGGAACAGAGGACTCGCGCCGAAAGAGAAAAGAAAGGAGTAAAAAGGCCAATGCCAGTCCTATGGGAAAATTGAGTCGGACGAGCAAAAAAAGGAAAACAAAACTGTAAAAGAGTATACAGTAAACGCGCGGGAAAGAATGAGGGAAGGAAACCGGGAGGAAAGCCGGATCGATTGGTTTGTAAATACCGCGGCGCGCGGGCCTGGAGATCTCTATCGCGCACTGACAATGTCGGCATGCTTTTTTATTTTCTCTCTCTCTTTTCCAAGAAACGCGGACCCGCGGCGATGGGGCTGCGTGAAGGTCACTCGTCCGCGCGAAAGTGACATGTCCACGCCGGACGGAGGGGGTCCGCGGCCGGGACCGGCGCCGCCCCGGCACCGCCCCGGCACCGCCCTCTCTGCTTCGCCAATCGCCGCTGTCCGGCCAGACCCAGAGTACACTTTCACACGTATAGGAAATATAGGACATAAGTAAACCTTAGGTTGCCCATGCCGGGTGTCTTTCATAGTCGCACTGGAAGCGGAATTTTAAACTGCCGTTAGGTAACTAACCATGGCGCCGCCAAGCCGGTCGAAATGCAGACGGAGAAGCATTCCCAAACATCCTACCCCCTCGCCCTCACCGTGTTGTGATGCGTGGTGTGTGTTGTGGTGTGTGTGTGTGTGTGTGTGTGTGTCCGACAGTGCATCCCCCCGTGACCCACATACGTTTGACGGCGTCCCCTTCCACGTCACTTAGGACGCACCGCTCCTCCTCCGCATGGCCTGGCATGGCGTCAGCGAGCTCTCTCTGTCTCTCTCGCACTCGCGGAGTGGTGGTCGGGGTGCGACAGAGACAGAGCGACGAAAGCCGCGTTGGGAATCGGACTAGCTGCAGTTGAGAGTGCATTGCGCTGTTGGCGGCACTGTGCGCGAGCACTGTGACGGCTCTGGAGGGACTCCATGGAGGGACTCCGACGCGGGTCGATGCCGGCGCGCTTTGTAGTGTAGTGCCCTAGTCGCGCTGTCTCTGCCTCTGTCGCACTCACGGGGCGTGCCGTAGGGTCCCGCAGGGTCTTGTAGGGGTGCGAGAGAGACGGGGCGACAACGCGACTCTTCAGCAGCCAGGCGTCTCGATAAATCGAATGAGTGGGATTCGAGGACCCGGAAGCGGACGCGGCTCGGCAACAAGCTTGTTAAGCCAACAGTCCCGCGCCGAAAACAAAAAAACTGTCTTTCAGTTTGTCGTTTTGGCAGTACCGACGAATGGCGCCTCACTCGGTTCGCGTGCTGCCATGAATGGGAATAAGCGTGGAAAGTGGGCAGTACGGGGAAAGAGGTGGGGGGCGAGTAGCAGCGAGGGAGAAAGGGAGAGGATGGCGGGTAGGAAGAGGCGGCGAAGCGAACGCGGTGTGGAATGGAAGAGTAGAGGAGGGGGAGGGGGCGCTGTGAAGGGCGTCGCGCCCATTCATAACGGCCGTGGTGGGGGCCCACGGCGCCCACGGCGCCCACCCCAACCCCCGGCACCCCGACGCCCCTACCCCCGCGACGGGGCCTTACCTTGCTCCTGACCCTGGCCAGGGCCGGGCAGGGCCAGGCAGGGCGCACCTCGCCAAAAGCAAGGCCGCCCAAAGGGCCCCTCCAGGCCCCCCCACCCCCCTCCGACACGTATATATCGAATCGGCGGCGGCAGAGCTCCTGCACCGTAACACTGGCTCTATGATGCCTCGCCGCATCCTCGATAAAATGTATGACTCGAATTAAACACGTGAGGGCGCCAGAAAGTAGCCCGTTGGAATGAGGATTCCAACGGCCTCTCGAGTGTTCGATTCGAGGAGGCCGTTTCAAAGGAGTGTGTGTTTGTGTGTGTGAGTGTTTGTGTGTGTGAGTGTTTGTGTGTGTGAGTGTTTGTGTGTGTGTGTTTTTTGTGTGTGTTTGTGTGGTGTTGTGAGGTTGTGTGTGAGTGTTGTGTGTGTGATGAGTGTGTGTGAGTGTGGTGTGGGGTTGAGTGTTGTGTGTGTGTGTGTGTGTGTGTGTGTGTGAGTGAGTGAGAGTGTGTGTGTGTGGGCCGATGCATACTGCAGGGCGTAGACTCGGAACCCAATTCGCGTCGGGGCATGAATTAACTAAAACCAAAAGCGACCTCATTCTGGTGGAAGCCTGGCAGGCTGGCCGAGCATGCACTCATCGATTGCATTTTGAAAAAAAAGTGTTGTTGTTTTAATTCCGATTAGTGTTTGTAGTGGTTAGGGGCGTCCAGCCTGAGCATTAATCGCTTTGACTTCGCCCCGTCCTTCGCGTTATCCGCCCCTCGGGCCGTGGCCGCCGTGGCCGCGTGGCTCTGACGTCAAACGCCGCGCGCAGCCTGGACACCCTGGCCCAAGCCCTGGCCCAAGCCCTGGCCCAAGCCCTGGCCTCCCTCGCCCCCTTCCCTCCCTGCAGCGTGCTCAAGAAAAGGAGGGAGGAGCTCCGCCAGAAAGTTATTACGCGAGTTGAAAATAAACCGCGTTTAAGTTGGCGATAGCGAGCCTTGTGCGAAGCCTGGCGAAGCCTTGCAGCCGGGCGGTGCAGCAAGTGGTGCAGCAAAATCAACCAAAATTGCATTAGTAAGCTTCTTGTTTTTCATATTTGAAACGTATTGTTTTGTTGCGACATTGACAGGAGGTTGTGCAATCTTGTCGCCGACGCACTCCTTGGGACCCGCTGACTTATAACCAAGAGGTGGTGGTGGAGCGGGGTCAGGTTAGGTTAGGCAAGGAAGGGGTGGTGAAATCGGTCTCCAGTCACCTCCCGGGTCGTAAAGGAGCCGGCGGCAAAAGGTCACGAAAAGTAGAATGGACAGTCCAGTGATGCATGCGGCGTGCAGTAGTGACCAGGCCGGTGTCTTTAAAACGCAACATTCGAACAACAGCAATAACAACAACAACAACAACAACAACAAGCACTGCTTGGCGGGGAAACCCGTGGCCAGGCACCGGAGGGGCTCTGCTTGAGGGGTGCGTTCGTCACGCCGCCGCATGCCGCCGCATGCCGGCCGGGGTGGCCAAGGCTCGAGAGCGAAAGCGGTGAAAGGAAAGGTGAAAGGTGGCCTGATCGCCCCTCGCGGTACACACCACACACCACTCGTGGCAAAGCTCGTCAACGCGGCCAGAAGTCGCCCCGGCAACGGTGGCCGTGCGCACTAATGAACCAATATTTGAGCGCCAGTCGCGGGTTCAATACCACACTCATCTGATATTTTTTCCATCTTCTCTCAATTTTTTCGATTTTTTTTTAAATTCTAACTAGTGTGGTGGCTTGGCCCTGAGGTGACCCTGTGCCCTGCTGTCGTGCTGTGGCGTCCTCCCAAACCCCTGTAGCGTCTCTGTCAAAGTCAGGTGTCCGCAGGTCCGGAGCGCGGACCCAGCATGGACTTCCCCGAGGGGCCACTTCGGGTTCCGTGCTGGTGCGAGAGAGACAGAGGGGCGGAACGCCGTGCGGAATGAGTCTGACGAGCGCCTGCCGTATAGGCAACCCAACCGGCATGCACGCCCGCCAAAGCCGCCGCGGACACCAAGTTCGAGAAGCCCCTGCAGTCGGCCGGGTAGGCACCCCGCGCCACGCCGGCGTCCGAGGCCAGGACGTTGTTGCCTACCGCGCCGGGCGGCTCCCTGCCCTAGAGTCCTGCACCCGCGTGGGACGCGTTTTGAGCTCCAGAGTCGCTACATGGGACTCGAACCGAACGTGTGGCCCCACCACTGGATTGCTCTTCGAACGAGGAATCCATTGGTGGGGTCACACGTTCGGTTCGAGTCCTGTTTATCGGCTCTGAAGCTCAAAACGCGCCTATAATTTTTGGCCGCCTCCACCGGTCTTCTGACCCACTGTGTGTGGGGTCCAGTGTCGTCCAGGAGCCCCCGGAGTGCCTGGAGTGCCTGGAGGACGCACTGGAAGGCGCGGCTGGCGATAATTACATCGACCCGCGAGGCCGCGAAGCCGCGAGGCCCTGCTGGACAAAGCGCGCACTCCGCCACGCCGCCACGCCGCCACTCCGCGCTCCGAAAGCAAGGTCGCCGCCACTTTCACTAACCCCATCCCCCTGGCCCCCCACCCCCACCCCCACCCACTCTCCCCGCCACCGGCCGCGCACCGCACGACGCCCGCTCCAGTCTCATTTGTGTAATTTGTGCGCGATTCGGAAAGTCCGAGTCATCATCGGCTGGAGCCGGACGGCGGGCCGTGGCCGTGCCGCGGCCGGGGGAGGGGGAGGGGGGCTGTTGCGATAACGCCTTTATGCGCCTTGCGCTGGGCCGCTGCACCGCTGCACTGACTGCACGTGCGCTGCTGTTTGGGCCGTTACCTCCCCCGACGGAACTCTCCTCGTTGAATCAATGAGTCACTCTCCCTCACTCTTGAACGCCAAACTGATTCCCGAGCACTGCTCTCCCTCTCTCGCCCCCCGCCCCTTTCCCCCACGGTTGTGCGAGAGACCGAGAGCGACGAAAGAGCACTTGTTCGTCACCGTGGTTATGATTCAGAAGAGCGGTTCGTCTCTCTCGCACCCTCACGCAGTACCCTGTCAGTGGGAGAGAGACAGAGCGAATCCACGCCGCGCCCCGCGGGTCTCCAGTACCTCACTCTCGGCCCGGTACCCTACCCCTAAGGAGCCCCCTCCCCCTTCCAGCGCATTGATCGGTGCATGGCCCCGCTTCTAGCATGCAGTGCTGTCTGTCGTCCCCCCTCCCCACTCTCCCTCAATTACCTGCCCGTCCCGCTTCTACGTGCCACATTCGCGCTCTGCATTGCCTGATGGGATGAAAAACTAACCGCGCCGTTGCGCCAAGTCCCAACCTAACCTAGCCCAACCGCACCGCACTAAGTCCCAACCTAACCTAGCCTAACCGCACCGCACTAAGTCCCAACCTAACCTAGCCCAACCGCACCGCGCCAAGTCCCAACCTAGCCTAGCCCAACCGCACCGCACTAAGTCCCAACCTAACCTAGCCCAACCGCACCGCACTAAGTCCCAACCTAACCTAGCCCAACCGCACCGCGCCAAGTCCCAACCTAGCCTAGCCCAACCGCACCGCACTAAGTCCCAATTTAACCTAGCCCAACCGCACCGCACTAAGTCCCAACCTAGGAGAAAGAAAGTGGGAGCAGGCGGCCAAGTCCGAGCCGCTGAAAGCGTGAGCGTCTCCTCTCCGCCGGCTCGCTCGCCTCGCGTGATCGCGCGACGCCCCGTGGATGCCCCGCCGCGGACGCGGGTTCGAGTCCCCGCCGCGCCGGCCGTTTTTCACCCTCACACCGCCAGGCCGCCAAGCCGCCAGGCCGTCACGCCGCTGTCTGCCGCCCTTGGCCTTGCACCACGCCGACGGCCGTCTCCCCGCCCCCGCCACCCCGGACGGCTTTCGCGAACAGTCCGAAGGCTTCAAGGTCGCCTCGCCGCCTCTCCCGGTGCGGCAGCGACACGGCAGGGAAGTCCAGCTGGCGGCCACTCCGAGGGGCACACTGTTCGGGCCGACATTACATCTCCGCCTGATGTACAGAGTAGGAAGTACGCTGTTCGTCCTTGCGAGATGCACGTCCCATACAAGTGACCCCCTAGTACACCCTTCGTTCCAGGGGCATGCCATGTAATGATCATTCATCCCTGCAGCGGACAGGGATCGCGCGCGGCGTGGTGAGGGCCAGCAGAGGCCGGAGTGGGGGTACGTCCCCCGTCCTCCCCGCGCCCCGCCATCAGCGCCGGCCAATGAGGGGCTAGCGTGAGCTGGCGCGGACGACCGTTCAAATAAACCGCCCCGGTTAGGTTGGCAGCATTTTGGTGTTATTAAGTTGGCTCCTCTTTCCGACTGTCTTGTGTCTTGTCCTTGTCTTTGCGCGCGCTCTGAGCGTTTCTGTCTTTGTTTCTGTGTTATACTTCGCTTGAACTATGTTGTTTCCTTGTGCTGACAAGAACAATGGATGGAAGAGAAACAAATTTGAAGCACGGGTGCTCTCTTCAACTGGGAATAAATAGGTAAGTTTTGTTTGTACTTGGTAATACATATTTCAACGGTGCCCGGGTGCCGCGGCCCGTAACCTAACAAGGTCGGCACCTAAAACCCAACATTATTGCCGAAATTCTGTAGTTGTAAACTCACGGTGTTTCCCGGCCCTTTTCGTGTTCGGCACTCGCATAACAAGGGTTATCTACATAGCCCGCAAGTTTCGCTGATGATAATTGGAAGTTCTGTAATACTTTGCTACCAGTTCTGAGGTTATGGACTCAAATGTACATACAGCCTACAAAGTCCCTTTTTCTTTCTTTGAACCGTTCATTGCACGCGAGAAGACACCAATGCTATCCATCCAAAATTTGTATTCATTGTCCATTTCATCAGTTGTTTATCTTTTATTTCACATGTTTCAGAGGGACCATGAAGAGACGGCAGAGAAACTTTGCCTTCATGATGATTCCGAGCCCAACATCTTTTCAAAATGAATCGGCATCAGAAACAGAACTTAATAATATGATTCTTCTAGTCTCTTAGTTGTTCTCAAAGTCTGCAACTCAATTTAATGTTGGTAAACATCATGTCATAGCTACTTGGTTGGTTTCTATATTTGTTGTTAGTTTTATTTTATTTTGTTTGTTCCAGAGAAGCAATCAAGATGTGGGATGAAACTTTGGGCTACGATTGAGATTCTGAACTCCAGATTTGACTTTTTAGTTGCTCGTCACAGCTACCTCACACTATATTTGTTTCGTTTTGTACTCTGATAGTGTCCAAAAGTCTGAAACTTGAGTACATCTTCTTTTGTGGGCCACGTTGACATGTAAGTTAACTCTACTCTTATTTTACCATAACTGAGTTAGCTTGTGTATTTGTTGTTAATTTTATTTTTATTTTTCTTGTTCCAGACAGCAATTATGATGTGGGATGAAATTTGGACTACGATAGAGGTTTCGAACCCACAATATGACTTTTTAGTTGCTCGTCCCAACTACTGCACACTAGATTTGTTTTGTTTTGTGCTCAGACAGAGTCCAAGAGACAACAACTTTAGTACATCTTCTTTTGTGGGCCATTTTAACATGATGTAAGTACACTTTACTCTCATATTATCATAACCTACTTAGCTTGTGTATTTGTTGTTAATTCTTATTTATTTTTTTTTGTTCCAGACAAGCGATTAAGATGTGGGAAGAAACTTGGACTACGTTTGATTTTGGTTCAGTTCTGAGTTGATTTTGGCACCTACTGAACATTGTGTGTGATATTTAACTTAAAATACTGTTGAGTATGCTTTTCTATTTTAGCTTGAATCAGTGATTAATTTGTTGTATTTGTAAAACTCAAATTTAAAATGAAGCTAAAATCCAAGAATTTGTGTCACAGCTGTTAGGTAATAATGAGTGTATGTCACATCACCTCATATTTAAATAAAAGCATTTTTAAAAAAATCAAACGTTTAAACCATTTCCCTTTTTTCTGCGCAACCGAAAGGAACATTTCTTGTACATCGGAGAGGAACGGTACGTGCAACCGAGACGAACGCACATCATACTTCTGACAAGTACAGTCCAGGCAGGGATGTCCCGGACAGGGAGCGGGAGTGGGGGGCGGTCCGCGCCGGCTGAGAGTGGTGGGGGGGCCTGCCGCGGTCGGGACATCGAGGAACAGACTCCTGATCCATGCTACTCAGATGGCACACCATCGTCCACTTGACCTGGACGATGGTGTGCCATCTGGGCTAGAATGGGGTTCGGACATTTATGTAGGGTCGGCCCGAACAGTGCACCTCGGCCGGACCGGCGGACTGTCTCTCTCGCACTCGTTGGGAGTGCCGTAGGGGACAGAAACATCGGACTGTGGGCACGTTCCCAGCTCGAATCGCGGACACTCGAACGAGGAGTGTAAACAGGTCTTTAAATCCTCCCCCGACCGGCGGCATCCTGGTCCCCGGCCATTTCTCTCCCCAGACGCCGATGATGCCACCCGCCAGCCGCCCGGCGCCGCCAGGACTGTGTGGACTCGGCGCGTACCCCCTCCCCTCCCGGCCGTCGGCCCGTGACCCCCAGAAAGGGCGGCGGGGGCTGCATAGCGCGACACCACCCTGGCACCCTGGCTAGCCTTATACGGGCATGTCTGGCCAGGGTGACGTCACCGCTTCCGAGAACTGCGACTAGTCAGCCTGGACCTGGAGGGGGAGGGGGCTGCGGGGGGAGGCAGGCGCATTCCAGAGGGCCCTCGACTTCTCGAGACGCCGTGCAAGTCGGCGTCCATGTGCACCTGCTCGTTGAGGTCACCACACTGCTGCCGCGCGGCGGCCAGCTTGGCGCGCTCCTTGGCGAGCTGCGCGTCGAGGGCCGCGGCGTCCTGCTTGGCGGCCTGCAGCTCGTTGCGCAGGTTCTCGGCCGTCGTCATCTGCTCCGCGATGCGCCCCTCCAGGGCCGCGTTGGCGGCGGCCAGACTCTCGCTCTCCTGCAACGGGGAGGGGTCGTCGCAAAGTGGGCCTGGCGCTGGCGGCCAAAATCCGGACGCGATTTGAGCTGCAGAGTCGCTAAATTGGACTCGAACCGAACGTGTGACCCCACCAATGGATTGCTCTCCGAACGAGGAATCCATTGGTGGGGTCACACGTTCGGTTCGAGTCCCATTTAGAGACTCTGCAGCTCAAAGAGCATGAGACTAGACCCCTAGTCTCATGACTTTTGGCTGCCTCCACCGGTCGTCTGGCCCACTGTATGGAGGTTGAAAAGGCGAAGCGTTTTGCGACCCGTCGGCTACCCACCGTCCGCAGGGCCTCCAGCTGCTGGCGCAGCCCGTCGCACTGCAGGCGGGCTCGCCCCGAGTCCTGGTGCGCCCGCACCGCCCGCTCGCCCTCCTGCTTGTTGAGGGAGCGCAGCGTCGTGATCTGGGGGCCGGGGAGCTACAGTCAGTGTTGCCAGAGTCTGGCCGCCAGAGGCCGTGCCGTCGTGCTAGAGGCCGTGCTGGAGGCCGTGCCAGAGGCCGTGCTGGAGGCGGAGTGCGAAAAGGCGCACCTCCAGATAGCCGTGAAAAAATTTATCTGCGAAACTGGAAACTGTCCTCTTCCAGATTTGTGCGGTCCGTGCTAGCGCGCGGAGGGGCGCCAAGAGGCCGGGCCTCGGGCTAGCTAATCCTTTCCGGGTACTCAGCCTGCCCAGTGGCGACGAACAAGGGCGAAGGAATCCGGTAAAAACCCCGAGGAGGAAAAGGGGATTATGCTCGACCCTCAGGTGTTTTGGTGTCGTCGCGTGTAATCGCCTGTCCGCCTCCTCGGGGTTTTTCCTTGGTCCCCGATTGGCACCAATGGGCGCCCTGCGGTCCATCCACGGTCCATCGCTTTTCGAGAGCGAAGCCCAGGCACGAGTCGACGATGTCATTTTGGCCTTTGTATTTATTCTACATCGCGGCTGATTCGCGACGTGACGCTGCGTTGGGGGCGAACCTGGAGGCGCATCTGGTCGACGCGCGTCCGCAGCACCCGGGTCTCCTCCCTACGCATCCTCCAGGCGTTGAGCATGAGGAGCTGGCACGCCCGGAGGGCCCCGCACGTCCCCGTCGACGCGGTCCCGTGCGCGAGCGCGGCGGGCTGCACCGCCCACGGCCCCGGCGTGGAGTCCCGGACACCGCCCTCGCCGCCGCGGTCCATAGGCGCCGGCACGCCGGCTCTTCTGAAAAAAGACCGCGTTGGCGGGGTTCGAACCGTCGAACCTGGACTCGCACCGTGTCCTACCTGCACTTCGTGAAGTGCTTAGCGTAGTTGGCGAGGTCGCCGACGGAACGCGACTTCTTGGGCCGTTTGCTGAGCGCCGCGGGGCCCTCCACGGCCAGCACGGCGTGCGTGGGCAGCGGCACGTGCAGGCTGGCGCCGCAGCTGTGGGTCTTCTTGAGGCTGGCGAGGAGCGGCGCGCAGGACGACGACAGCGCCAGGCGTCCGCATGCCGTCCGAGAGGTCCTGGAGGTCCTGGCGCTGGGGGGCACGACCTCCTTCACCTTCTTGCCCGCGCCGTCGCCTCCCGCCGCCGCGTAGTAGCTCTTCACGCGCGCCGCCAGCATCGTCCCGACGCGTTGCTTTTCGAGACCGCGACTCCTGGCTGCCGCGGACACGGCGCACACAGCCGACGCTCCGCCGATTTGGATCCATTGTTGTTGCCGAAAAAAAGAAAGGGGTGACAAATGACAATCAGGGAAGGCCCGAAAATGGGAAGCGCTTTTAGGCTTCCGCCGTGTGATCGTGTGATTTGGAAACGAAACAGCTTTCGTGCGCTGTCTCGCTCGCTCTCGCAGAGAGAAGGGCGAGGGGTGGCCCGGAGGGAGGGAGGGAGAGAGAGAGGGGACGCGGGTAGACGCGGGCCTTCCGGCCGTGCCCGTTGCCCGTGCAGCGCATGCGCTTGAATTTGGCGCCTTCCACCGCCTTGCGCGCCACCGCTCCCCTTGGTGTCGGCTGCTGGTGTTTTGACGTCACAGTCTGCCTCGCTGACGACGTTTGACAGCTCCAACAGCCGCTCCATGGGTACTTTAACGGGTGCGTGTGGTTAAATCGAGTCCCTCCCGACGTTCTGTAATCTGTTTCTCGCCGTGTTACACCCCAGAACCCCTTCCAGCGGCGAAACTTTGGCTCCGCGCTGGCGACTGCAGCGCTGCCGACGACTGGCGGCGGCGATGCGTACCACGTCCCACGTGACTCGCCCAGCCAATCAGAGCTCAGATCCGCCTCAATTCTGGGAAATATTGTCATGTTTTCCAAAAATACTCTTGCCTTCACTGCTCGCTGAGACTCCGACCAGAGCAGACGGCCGGAGCTGCTGCGAAGGACGGCTCAAGTTTCGTTCGTCGTACGTCGTTGGAAATGTTTTCTTGTTCCAACATCCCGCGATTCGCAAGTTGTCGTGTCCGTGTGTGAGTTTGTGTGTGGTCTGTGCGCCTTCAGTCCGGCGCAAGAGTGCAGCACGAAAGGTCCTTGAGTGCACCGTCCAGGCGACTAGGTTATTCCGTGGCGCTTCGGACATGTCTGTTCTTGAGGTAGGCCTTCTTTCATCCCGACGCTCCAATCACTCGTTGTGTGTTTCGGTGTGGTGGGAACGGGTTGGGTTTCCGCAGGGTTTTCCGCGGTTTCTCGGTGTTTGGTCCCCAGCGGGGTGTCGCCACTCGCAGGGAGCGAGACAAGTGCGCTGCAGGTTGAGTTTGTTTTTTGGGTGTGTATGTGCGTGAACGTGAACAGGCTGTATTTTTAGTACGCTTATGATCCCTCGTACGGATCCCGAGTGCGTAAGTGTCATCGCACGCGCAGGGGCAGGGCAGCGGGCCTGCCTCGGCGCCTCGGCCCGGTCACCGAGACAGAGACACCTGTCTCAGTCTGGCAGCAGGTTCATCAGATCAGTTGGGGTCTTAGTTCCTCCTCTTCTGGGACCGTTGTTGGGCTGCCCGCAGTTTGGGTTTTCATGTGGGGTGCCACGGTGGGCTGAGTTGCGTACTGTGCAGATGAATTGTAAATGACCCGTCTTAGTTCTTAGACTGTGGGTTGCATAACTACGATTGTAAACTGTTGAACGTAAATCGTGTATCCTCATGTTTTGTGTGGGCTCTTTTTGTCTATTTCAATGTTGTGTGTTTAGGGGGTGGGTTTTATGTGTTGCATGGTAGGGGAACTAACTTTTCATGTTGTGTTTCCGTCACTAACTCAACAAAGTTTCTATTGAAGTCCCCCGTTGAGTTTGTAATATTTATTTGTCACAGTGATTAGTGTTAACTGGGCACATGCCTTTCTCCCTTAAGTAACCTCCTGTTTTCTTCTTTTTAATTCCAGTCCTTTTAGAGATTTTGACTCTTTGGTGATTAAATCGTGGTGCAGCCACCTATCCAAATGGATCCCCTAGGTTGGTACACACATCCTGTAGACATACTGTTTAGTTGATTAGTTTGCATGTTATTCTAAACATTGTTTTGCTGAGTGCTCAACTTATTCCATCCCTAAGTAAAGGCTCTTAAATAGTCTACCATTGGTTTAGTGAATTAGTGCAATAGTTGTCCTCAGATTGAGTGTGAAAAAATATTTGTTGTTTGATTATATTTAGTATTTCTGTTTTCTTTTTTTCTTTTTCTTTTTTTTTTATATACACCTTTGTGTTCCTTAGCTTGGGGTATATGGTATTGCTTTTGGTATCCTGTGTTAGAGTTTCATTATTTTTTAGAATAGAAGGGTAAAGGCACTTTTTGTTACTCACACCATTTCCATAATAATCTCAGCAAGCTTGAATTCCTTTTTTTTCCTGCCATTTATTTGCTGCAAAGTTGATTGACTGCCTCATCAGTTGCCTTCTTGCTTCCCTTCATACAGCATTTTATCATTGCGTTACTGTGAGTCATCCAGGCTGTGACTGTGCAGGAAGAAAGTGGGCTTGTCAGATTCATCCAAAGAACAACTGACTTTCATTTCCATGTCTGGCAATTATCTGATGGCATCTGTGTGTTTGCTAACATGAGCATTTGGTTTTTCTGTAGGAGATGAGCAACTGGGGAATGTAGGAGGCATGGATGGTGAGCCTCAACTCTCAGCAAATGGTCTGAGTGATGTCTGTAAGTGTGTCATTAAATTTTATGGGGGATGGTGATGTTGCCATTTCTTCTGTACTGTATTGGGTACTGGGGAGCAAATATGATTTATGTGTAAGTTTGTTCGTTTATGAATTTGCAGTGGATGTGATTGGAAATGATCCTGATCTTGCTGTAACCAACTCAAACACCATGTCGGTTGCGGGAAGGCATCGTCTGTCATCGGAAACGGCCCACATTGTGATTTTGGAGCAGCCTGCATCGAAGGCGATGAGATTTCGCTATGAATGCGAAGGACGTTCAGCTGGGTCCATTCCAGGAGTCAATAGCACACCAGAAAATAAAACATTTCCCACCATTCAGGTAACTTGCTTACATTTTAACTCATATTGGATTTTTTTCTGTTCTGAAAAATGCCTTAATTTTTTGTTTTGAACATTTTTTAAAAATTGTTTTTTGCTCTGTGTCAGGTTGTGGGCTACAAAGGACGTGCAGCAGTAATAGTGTCCTGCGTAACCAAAGATCCTCCCTATCGAGCACATCCCCATAATTTAGTGGGAAAAGAAGGGTGCAAGAAGGGTGTTTTTTCGCAACAAGTTCACTCCAACAACAACATGATTGTCTCTTTCTCCAACCTTGGCATTCAATGTGTCAAGAAGAGGGACATTGAGGAAGCTCTGCGAGTTCGAGAGGAGATCCGAGTTGATCCTTTCGGAAGTAAGTCTCCTAATGATTGTTTTTATTCTATAGGACATAGCACATAGTTTGGTAGCTAATCTTCTATTGAGAGCTATATTTTCTTAACATTTTTAATTTTATTTTTTCAGAGGGTTTTGCCCACAGAAGTCAGCCTACTGGTATTGATTTGAATGCTGTAAGACTCTGCTTCCAAGTATTTTTAGAAGGGCCAGAACCAAATACTTACACAAGAGCTCTAGCACCAGTTGTGTCGGACCCAATTTATGACAAGAGTGAGTATTTATTTTGTTAAAGAATCCTAATCTAGGCTTTCAGGTAACTAATGCCTTATTTGCTATTTGTTGATTAGAGGCAATGTCGGATTTGGTGATTTGCAAATTGAGTCATGCCAGTGCTCCTGCAATTGGTGGAACAGAAATGATACTTCTCTGTGAGAAAGTAGCCAAAGGTATGTTGTTTGATTTAAGATTACCTATTATTTATGGTTATTGGTTGGGACAGTTATTTTCAAGGCTTGCATCTCAAATTTGCAGAAGACATTCAAGTCAGGTTTTTTGAAGAACGGGACAATGAAGTGAAGTGGGAAGCCTATGCCAACTTCCAGCCATCCCAAGTTCACAAACAAGTTGCCATAACCTTTGAGACGCCTCGTTACGAAAGGATAGAGGTAATTTGGAGTTTCTATATCCTAGCTTTTTCTCGTTTAAAGTAGATATAACATACCTGTTCTCCTTTCTCCATTTAGTTTTCAGAGCCTGTCACCGTCTACATCCAGCTGAAGAGGCCATCTGATGGAGCGACCAGTGAACCTCACATCTTCGAAATGATACCTGTGACAGGTAGGGCGTCATATTTTAATTTCCGTAAGCCTCTGGTGAAGAAAGGGAACTACAACACATTCAGCCAAATCCTCGCTGCGGATCCTGCCATGATGACCAGCAACATTCTCTCCGGATTGACTCCTCCAACAACGCTTCCCGCTCAACCATCACCAGAAATTGTTGACTTGAGTGCTATTGAGCAGGTGGCAGTTCCTGTGGCCTCACCAGACATGCCAACAGAAGACAGCAAGCCACCAATGCCTCAGATGGTTGTCACATCAGAGCTGTTAATTGCACCAGCCCTTCAGAACTCTGATGCTGTTGTGAACATGCGTCAGAATATTGAGGAAGCAGACTATGCTGAAGTGCACAAGTGGCACAAGATTGAACCCAGCACTCCTCAAGTTGATGCCAACATGTCAGTCCTTCCTGGTATGATGACTGGTGAAGGGGAGGAGGAGTCCCTTGCCCTCAACGAGCTCATAAAGCAGGTTGGAGCTGAATTGGATGAATTTTATGCTGATTCCAAGACCAGAGCTCTTGCTGAAGCTGATCTCTGTCCCATAAAAATGGATTTACAAGACTTGCCAGATATTGATGACTTTCAAGATATGTATGATGATACTTCATACTCGAGCTTGCAAATGGCTATGAAAAATCCAATTGAATTGATGGACAGTTATGAGCAGGCCCTCTCAACACTCCCTCCATCCACACCTGTCCTTTTGCGCACTCCATGCAGCACCCCGTCCAAAAGGGAATCTCCTGAGAAGGCTCCACCGCTGCCCCCCAAGCGAGCAAAGAAGTCTCCTCAGGAGCTCCTGCCTCCACCTTTGCCTCCAGCCCCATTTAAGTCCCTCCCCTCCCCTCCTCCTGAGATCAAATCTCCCAAATCTCCTAAAACCACCTTCTTTTCCAAACTCTTTGCTAAAAAGCCAAGTCCCGAAAAGAAAAAGAATGCAAAAGTTGTTGGTCTGTCCCGAGGTAGCAGCATGCGTAGTCCATCTCGCACTCCAACTGTTCCTAGGAGTAATATGGGTGCCAGCATGGGCAATCTGTCTCGTTTCCCTGATGGGGAAGACACCATTTTTATCAGTCTGAGGGGCAGCATTGATCGGGATGAAACCCCCACTGTTCGCCCCACCATGACTGTTTCCGACCAAGAAAATAACAACATTCTTTTGAATGATGTGAACGATGTTCTTAGTGGGCTTACAGATGCTGAACAGCTTGATCTGTATACTGATATGGCTCCTCGTGCCACAGTGTCTGAGTTTGATGAAATGTCTTCATACTACAGCCCTGTTGAAGGTGGCAGAATACTGATGCCTGAGCGAGGAAAGATGGCTCTTAATACCCAAGGTGTTTGAACTTGGCTGGGCTTCGCCTTTGGGTTTAAATTTGATTCTTACTTTATATTCAGAAAATTATTTCTGAATTAAAGTCTTTGTCTTGGATTCAGGTCCAATGTTGATTGATTGCTGTTTGATTGAATTGATTGGTATTTGATGTGTGCATTTTCTGATATATTGATTGGGAAATTGTGCTTTCCCTTAGTTTGAGAAATATCTCCTTGATAGGAGTGTTGCTAAGTATTGGTCAGATTGAATGCACATGCTGAACCGCCTTGTCACTTCTACATTCTGAGTACCTCCCCTTCCTGATTTTGTTGGTTTGCTGACTAGTTGTGTATTCCTCTGTAATATTTTTTTTTTTTTTTTTCTGCGATACTTTTTAGATACTTTGCAAATGTTTTATAGTTCATTGAAATGGATCTTATTGTTATCTGTTTTGAAGAAAATATTTTATTAGCTGGAGTTTTTGCAACAATTTCAATAGATTTGAGTTTAAAATAATAGAGAAGGAGAGTATTCAGAATGCAGAGTGGTATTGGTGTTCTTATTGATTGATTGAAATAGTTAAAGGCTATAAATCAAATCTTCCATGTGAGGATTTGTTGTGAGAGGTTGGGAGTGAAACTTCCCAACCAGGCACATCCAATTTTGATGTTGCATTTGAAAGGAAGAGCTGTGCTCTGTTTTTGTTGTTGATTTAATGAGAGCTTGTGGTTCTCTCCATGTTTGATTGTGTAGTGAATCTGTCAATGAGGATGCACTTATGCATGGCTCATTTAAAAACCGTTTTTGTTAGTTTATTGTTCTATGGTTGTTCAGTTGCTTGAAACCTGAAGACTTGTCTTAATTTATTGTTTTATATTGAAAGTTTGTTTGAAACCAAGGATGCTTGATCAATGTTAAGCTTTTGTTTTGGTTCAATTTTTATTGTTCGATTAGAATGAGTCCTGCGTGCTCCATAAACCTGCTTTACACAGGTTTGATTGAACTGATTTGTGAAGCTAAAAGTTCTCTTAAGTTGAGCATTAGTTCTAATGCTGCTTCCCAGTGCATTTTATTCGTATTTTCTGTTCCTCTAACCTTGTCTATGAAGTTGAGTGTGGAACCATTTTTGCACATTTTACCCCATTTTTGTAAGCAGGACCTTGCTTTTATTTTGTATTCTTTTTCATGGTGAATTTTGATTATGAACTTTAGGACCAGAGTTTGTGAGAGTATGACTATATGCTGAAGGTTAAATGCTAAGCAATGCCTTCATATTTTACGTCAGTGTAAAAGTTAACACAAACTTCAGTAGAAATGCTTCTGACCTATTTGTAGAACGAACACAAGTAAGGTTCATTTACCTTCCACTTACACTGTGCAATGTGTTGGTAGAACCATTTGATACCTCAATCACTCTGTGAAACCAAATTTTGAACAAGTCTGATATCCGCCCGGTTCGTGTATTTGTACTCACACTTAGTTACCATAGCATGGTATTTTTTATACTTGTGATCATTATTGGTAAGGAATTTTAAGTGCCTAATAATTTTGATGATTGTTGGCTTGTAACTTGCAGTGGCTGGTTATTGAATTATTCTAGTCCTTTTGTGCTGTTAATTGTTACCTTTTCTAGTCATTTTAGATTTATTGTCCATGTTGATCTTTGTTACTGTGTTCTTACTAACTTGTTTTTGTTGACCTTTGTTTTCATTTGTATTGCTTACTTCCTTGCTGTAACAATTACTTTGTTACTTCTATTTTAATGTTATGATTTTCAACCTTTTTTCTTATTTTTGTCCATAGGAAAGCGGCAGAGGATTGATAATAGTAATAAGAGGCATTGGGGGGACGATGATTCACCATTGAGGAATGATAGTGAGTACCGTCATATCTTTGGTTTTCGGGTGCTCATGGGTATCTGCCTCTCATGGTGTTGGGTCTAGTGGTGGTGGTATTTGGATTCTGTGGAAACACAAGTTGCCTCTTGATTTTGTCTAATATTCTTTAAATATTCTCTTTATTTTTGGTCTTGTCTGTAGAATCACACAAAATTAAGTTCAGTGAACAATGAACTTTTGGTGCTGACACAATTGTAGGTCTTGCACACATAATCAATAAAGTAAGCAGAAAGTAGAATCGTATTTTGTAAAAAAAAGTTCCTGAAACTTGAACTGCTTTTGATAATCGTAATTTAGGTATTTAGTGAAATTCAATTGTCTTAAGTAACAGGCTGGTCCTTCACTCCTATTTTCACATATTTGGCCGATCTTCTTGGGTAAATACTCAATCAAGATTCCGGAGAAAATTCCGGCTGGGGCATTGTTAAAATGTACTGAATTGAACATACACATTTGTATATTTCTCTATGATAAGAATAGTTTTAGAGAATACCAAATAACATATTTAAAACTATGTGGCACTTGTGTTTCACTTGATTATTGATATAGGATGAATTTAGAGCCATCACTTCTTCTATTAGCTGTTCTACAGCAATATTTATAGCAATAATGCCCCTTTGATACAAAGCACAAAAGCTTAATTTGTGATGTTTTTCTAAAATTTCGTGTCGTGAATGGACATGGGTTCAGTACGGTAGTTGGTATGGTCTTCAGACGACAAGTCTGACTTGGTGGCTTTACACAAGCCATTACGATCAGGGTAAACAGTTTGTGACTATTGTGATAGTTTTGCATGGTGTACTGGGATTGTTCATGATTTCATTTTGCATAAAGATGGATGTGCTACCTTGGTGGCCTTGCTTCATGCCTCACTTCTGTTGCAATTATGCTCAATAGCTACACATTTCAATATAGGGATAGGTTCGTGATTCTTTTTTATCGGAATCTGCTTGTAACTTGCAGTATTTTCTTATGTTGAAAGTTGAGCACAAATTTAGGATTTGAGATCATCAATAGTTAACTATTTCAGTTCTATAGTCCCCCTCTCCCACCCACCCACCCCCACCCTAAAAATTAATCACTTTCCACTTCGTGCCTTGCAAATTGTTTTAAACCTTTGTTCTAAATTAAGATTCAAGATGTTATTTATAGGAAATATATCTTTCTCACCACATTTTTACTGAGAAACAGTTATGCATTCTGCTACATACATCATTTAAGGGATGTCCTGTAGTACAATTGGTTTGTAGATTTTAAAAAATTTCAGCAATTGTGTAGCGATTTGCAATTTTATATTGATGCACAAGGTGGTCTAATATAAAATGATAGGACATTGCCTCATAAACATTCTGGGATTTGGTTTTCTTACTTTCAATTTGTATATAATTTGGCAAAAGAAAAAAGGAAAAAAAATAGTCTGCATCGGGCATTTGTCTTTTAATTTAAATTCTTGTTTAACTGCTGTTGGCTTTCACTGAAGTCCATCTTTCTGTATGTCTCTCTGCTTTTGGTGTCTTGGGTGTGGGCCTGATCTCGCTGGAAGAGTCTGTTTCACACATTCATTGCTGACGAAAAATTTATGCTTATTCTGTTTGAAGTTCTGTTGTGCATGTCAACCAGTATTACAGTTTGATCTGTGGAAATTTTAGGAGTAGATGGGAGAGTATAAGTTCTTCAGATTTTTAAAAAATGTGTTATTGCGTTCATTTATTCTATTTTAAGCTGTATTAAATTGTTTAACTGGAAACGAGTGGAGTTTTCTTCATTCGTATTGTTTGGGAGCATTCAACTAGTGAAGGGAGACTTCTGTAACTGTCATCCCATTTGTTGATGCTGTTGTACAATCATACAGCTTATGATCAATGAATTCACAGCCATTTCCTTCACTGTCCTCAATTTCTGCAATACATATTTCTTTCAATTCTTGTAACTTGCCTTCACAAAGTCCCATATATCTTGGATTTGGTTTCTGCTTTATTGTTTTCTGGAATTATCATACAGTTTGTTTTGTGTCTTAATTCTTGAAGAGCACCTGATGCCCTACAACTTCCGTTATCCTCATATCTCTGTTTTATTTGTGGAAAATGCCAGTGTGTTAGATTATTTATGCTGCTTGGATCATTAAATGTGACTTTTTAAAAATTTGTTTCTTCTCTTCTTTCTGTATCTCCCATTAGTACTTACTTCAAATTTTATCTTTTTTTTCTGAAAAAACACACCGAAGAAAGAAAACTAATTTGCATTCACAATCTTTTCAATTCAAGTAAATAGTTGGCTCATCTAGACCTACAAGCTCTTGGATTTTTAAACATTTGGTGGTGGTTGTAGGTTTCAACATATGGAAAAGGTATGGTCGAACATGTGAGTGTTATCTGTGGCATTCTACTGTCGCTTTCTCATTTGTCTTTCTTTGTAGATAGTTGTGAAGTCTTAGTTGCTTCTGAGTTTTCTGCTTTCTTGCTTCCACCCATGCTTTCACTTACATGTTCACTTATGGCTTTGGGTTTGCACGTGAGTCTAGTCAAGTGCGTCGTCTAGTTCTAAAATGTTGTTTCACCTCATTCATTTCTATTGCCTGGTAGCTGGATAATGTTTGTGTTTCAGAGGAGCTAAAACCATTTTGTCCATCATTTCCATGACTTTTGTGTCACACTACCATACTTTCTAGTGTTAGTTGGTTACATCCCACTGTTAAATTACATGCTCTTCTTTGTCTTTAGGACCGCATGCTGCCTTGAATGAGCTCAGGATCAAACAGGAGCCTGCTGGTAAGAAGCTCAACATGAATTTGGAACTTGAATCCTTACATTGGGTGGTTTCACCTGTGCTCTGCCTTCTAAAGTCAAGAGGTGTAACCTGAACCCAAATGAAATGGTTTTCTCTTCCGATTTCAGACCGCAGCCCCCAGATGTTCTACCCGTCCAACTTGTCACCCCTGTACATGGGGCAGGGGCAGTCCCCCCAGCCAACGCCCATCAACAGTCCACAGATGCAAGTGCGGCGCACTCCTTCCCCTGCCGAATTCAAGCCAAACTCTCCGTACATGTTCACTGGGCACGCGTACGGTGCTCCGTCTTCGCAGCCGACTGGCCTCGTGGGCCATCCGTCCAGCCAGCCCTCGCCTGGGCCTGGGCCTTCGCCATCCATCACTCTCCAGCGAAATGTCCTGCTGGCCGGAGGAACATGCATCCCTGGTGCCAGCTTTTCACCTGACCCGGTAAGCCCATGTTCTGATCTTGGTGGAAATTTGTTTGTTGTCCTGTAGTTTTGTTACGCTAAGTGAGGGGAAAGTAAGTTGCAAAGTCTTTGAGTTGGTTCTGATTTTAAAATTGGTTTGTTTCTCCTTCAGTTACATGGGGGGCCTAGTGGAATGCAGCCTGGAGTGGGAGGCGGCTTACAACAAGGTTTCCCTGGAATGGTGGACACAGTCAACATGGGCCATGCAATGGGTGGAATGCCACAACCAGATTACATGCATGGAAACCCATCACCTCTTGCCTATGAACAACAGGGTCAGACCTATACTACGTTGACGAATGCCATGAATGGAGGAGGAATTCAGCCATATCAAAATGAACCTTTCTCTCAACATTTCCCTCAAGGAACAGTGTCATTTGAGCAAGAAGTGAACTCGAGTGATCTTGTCCGACCTATAAGTAATTGGGATGGAAATATTGGGAATCTTTCCGATAATATATCTAATATCAACTTGACAATGTCGGAGACAGGACCTAGCTGAAGTTAAGTGAACAAAAAACACCAAGACAAAGTGTGTGTCACCCACTTTTACTGTAAGGATTTTGTGCTAACATTAGCAGGGTATTTTGCATCACATTAGATAATACAGGCAACCCAATATCTGTTTCTTTCTTGTCATGGTGCCGCTTTTTCATTCTATAAGACTGTTTTGGGTGTGTTTATTTTGCTCAAGAAGTATGCATCTCATCCATGACAAATTTTGCTGCAGTGTTTATATTTGTTAATTTTGTTGAGTCATGTGTTACATTTTAATGGAGCAGTAGGCATGCTATCACATTCAATGAACTGTTTTCAGGACATCTTTGACTCCCTTGCTAAGGGTGGAAATGAAATTTCCTTAATTTGATGCTCCCTTCAAAATATGTACTTAAGAATTGTGTTGCTCAAATGTGTTTTGTGAATTGATTTATCTTTTTTTATCTGTTCTTAAAATTTACCCAGTACATAATTTTTGTAATTTTTTATTTTTCAAATCAAGGACTTAAGTGTTGCTATTTTGTCAGTCGCCAAGCTGTTGACTTGGCTGTTCGAGGAATGAAAAGATATGTTGTGGTGTCAAGCAATTGCAGTAGTTTAATTGTGATGAAAATTGTATGAAGGATTGGTAATTCCTGCTAGAATCTTGTACAGATCTCTGCTTTTGACGACAGTTTTAATGTTACCTAGTGGTTGGAGGCTAAAGATTCTCCAACAAACTCAAATATATATTTTCATAAATGTACTTTCTACTTAGCCCGCGGATATTAATAAGTTTGTAACATGAATCAATTTTAAGGTGAGATCACCTTTTTTGGACTTTTCACTGTAAATGTAATTTATAGATCTTGTATATCATCCATCAGTCATCATGGCCTTTAAATAGAAAAGAATCTCATATTCCATATCTGCTGGTTCAGTATTTGCTTATTACAGAAGTCTTTTATAATTTTTATTTTGACTGGCCGTTGCATTATTCTAATCAGTGGTTCGCTATTTCTTCAGACAGTCATGGCTTCACTTCATTTGTAGCATATGATATTATGAACAAAATGTTAACAAACTCTTCATTGAAATTTGAATGTTATGTTAAGTTGAAAGTTACTGTCTTGTTTTTGCTGTCTTGGAAGCACACTGTTTGCTTGCCATGTATAAATCCTGCTGTACCTGAAAAATTATTTTGTTAATTTTCTTTTTTGTAAGTTTATTTCTAAGTACATTTAGTATTGTTAATTTTCACTCACAAAGTAAACCTGTTATATCTTTTAAGATCTTTGTATTTGTGTAGTAAACATTGTCGTCATCAAGCCAATTTCAGTCCGATTTGACCATGGGACATCTTACTTACGATGTTATGACTGGGTTTTTAATTTGCTAGATTAAAAATCAGTATTACATTCAACATTGATTTTGCTTCTTCAATGTTCTACTTATTTGAAAGTGTGCCTTTTGTGAGTTAATTCTACATGAAGTCTGTTGTTTGATTTTGATAAATATTTTATTGTATTTCCAACAAGGAAGAGCTGTGAAGTTGATGTATCTGTTGATGTTCTATTTTATATTTTACTGTTATTTGTGTTAAGGTAGTCAGAGCATGAATTTCGAAGCATTTAGTTTCAACAATGAGCGTGGTTTCTCATTTTCAATGACATTGATGTCATTCCCTCCTTGCTTGGAAAAAATTGTCACACCTCTCTTAAGCTTATGTTGCACTGCTTTTTGTTATGACTTTTTCAATCTGAGGTTGGCAGGCACCAGGAATCCTTCCATGTGATCAATAAATACGAATGACAAACTGTCATCATTATGCTATAATGTATGTATATATCTTAAACTTGTTACGTGTATGAGATTGGTACAATTTAACCCTGGTTCTTAGAAGACCCCTCATTCTTTTGTTGTTTGGTTAAAACTCTTTTTGTAAATTTTATTACTTTATTTCAGTTTTACCAAGTACTATGCTCTGTTGCAAGTGATATAGAACTCAATGTAAAATGGTGGTATTTTATCCCCAGTCTTTGTGATATGGAATCTATGATCTTTTTACAGACGTGTTTTTTTTATGAACATATATGACCTTTGTTTTTACACAAAATTGTTACTTTTTAAAGACTTGTAGCTTAAATAAAAATAATGCTAAAAAGTTGTGAAATTTTCCTTTCGTTTTCTACCTTTTCAGCCCGAAAAGTGGCGTTTTGCAAGTGGAAGCATCTGACGTCTGATGTTGACCCCTCTGTCCAAGTTTCGGAGGGTGTCCAGTGGGTTGCCTGTATCCTCGGGCGCTGAGAGGGTGGCTTGAAAAGGTTGTGCAGGGTGTGTCGGAAAGACTCAGTCTCTCCCCAGGAGTGCGTCGAGAGTCCGAGTCCACTCGCCTCGAGGCTGAGGCATGCTGATTCCCTGCTTTGCGAGGGCAGCGCAGCGGGAAAAGGGAAGACCTGCATCGGGGCTCGCCGCGCCGCGCCGCGGAGGCGGGGAACCGCGTCCACGCGATGCGATGCCCAGGGCTGCCCTGGGCCTGGGCCTGACCAAGTGGGCCGGGGCGGCCGGGGCCTAGTTTGCAGAATCACGTGGGGCAGCGGCATCGGGCATCCGATCCAAATCCAAACTCACAGTCATCACTTGCAACCCGAAGCTGGAGGCTAGAGGGGCTAGAGGGGCTGGCTAGAGCAACAACTGACGACTCGGGGAGCGGCAAGCGTCTCTTGGCAGCGCCAGCACGCCAGCCAGCTGCAGCCGTCGCTTGCAGTTGCAGGAGTTGCAGAAGCTTCCCTTTTTCATGCCGTCTCTCTCGCGCCCAGCGCGAGCGACAAGGACGGGGAGACCGTTGGGTGCCGAACAGCGCGAGCAGGCAGCAGACTGATGCCGAGAGTCATTTTCGTCGCTCTGTCTCTCTCGCACTCATTGGGCGAAGAAAAAGGCTCTCGGAATCAGTCTGCTGGGGGTGAGGGGGCGAGGGATGAAGCGGGAAGGGAGGTCTGGGTCTCGTCGGTCTCGTCCCGGCGACGCTGCTCTGCTCCGCTCCCTCTGCTCCCCACCCTCCGAGGCCGCGGCTGCCTCCTTCGCGACGACGCGGACGCAGCCCGCTGCACCGCGGCGCCCCAACTCGAGTGCGCCGGCGTGCACGTTGCGTGAGTTCAGCCGTTCAGCGCAGTGCAGCGTGCAGCGCAACACGCGCGTGCATCTGCCGCCGCGCCGCCAAGTGAACAAGGCGGACGGCCATGTCGTGGTGGAGGCAGAGCCAGGGCCAGAGCCAGAGGCATGCAAATTTGATTTTGAGTGGGAGCGGTGGGTGCCCGCCGTGCCGGCGTGGAGTGGACGGCGCCCTTTCCTGACTCCACCGCGCCGTGCCGCCACGCCACACGTAGCAGCAGCAGGTCGTAATCTAGTCGGCCAGCCGCGCTAGCCGCGCCCGTCCCTTTATCCCTGTATCCCTTTCGCCTTCCCTTCATTTCCTCTTTTCCTCCTATTCTATCTTGCAGCGGGGCAAGCGAAGCCTGGCGAAGCGCTGCATCTGCCGCGCCGCGTCGCGCCGCTCCCGCCGCACCGCGCCGCCCGTCCGTCTGTCTGCTGTCTGTCTATCTGCCCGAGGGACGCGGCGCGGCAAGAGGCGGGCGGCAAGCCTGCTGCGGCGCGGCGCGGCGGACGCAGCGCGGCGGCGCGGCGCGACGCGGCGGGCGGCAGAGCAGCGCGGTGGGGCGGGTGGAGGGAGGGGCGGGAGGAACGGGCGACGCGGTGCGGCAGGTGAACGGGTAGGGCCGGGGGCCGTCCGCAAACAAGCCAGGTCCTCCTCCCTCCCCAAGGGGCCGAGGGTCGAGGGCTGCCCGCGACCTTAGGGGGCCGTCACAAAGCGTCCAGGCCCGGCAAGCTGATCACGCGCACCGCTTCCGACGCGGTCTCTCTCGCTCTGGCGCGACGTCGCGTAGGGGTGCGAGAGAGACACCGCGACGAGGACCAGCCTGCTGAGTGACGTGCACCGGTCTCGGTGTTTACAGACGCCCCCGAACCGCCTTGGGAACGGCGGCCACGCCGAGTA